ATTTGGTACAAAGGATCACATTAGGGAGGGGCATCTGCGGTTGCAACTTGCAAAGATCAAAGTAGGGAAAATACATTCAGATATGTAATTTCAGCTGCACCGAAGCCTTCACCGATTACCCTTCACGGGGTATCTTTTTGTTTACATTTAACCAATTCCCTAATCTTTATTTACATTTGGGATTCTTTTGTTTACATTTTATGAGGTCAATGACCCCTTTGTTTATATTATGAGGTCAATGACCTTATTGTTTACATTTTGCCAAGGTCAATGAACCCTTTGTTTACATTTTATGAGGTCAATGAACTTTTTGTTTACATTTAGCCAAGTCCACAACCTATTTTCGATTTAGCGAAGTCCACAACCTATTTTTTTTCATTTATCGAAGTCAACAACCTTTGTTTACATTTAGAGTCAGTGACCCTTTGGTTTACATGCAGATGTGAGGGAATGGCAGTGGTGGGGTTACGCCCATTTACAAAAATGAACTTCTTATGGTGCCAAAAAAACAATCGGATTTCAACACGTCTCAACATCTATATCTATATATATAGATAACTCTACATCTAACTCGATTAGTATTAGCTGATAGAAACAACCGTTAGATGAACAAAAATATTATACTCTGTAGCGACATGTTGCAAGAGTATAAAAATACTAAAAGCGCGATAAATCAAGCACTAAACGCGCCAGAGACATTAAATTTTATCTCTGGCTATACCATCCCAGAGATAAAATTTAATGTCTTTATGGGAACCTCGTTCAAAATTAGTCAGTGAGCGTGGCACCGCCCACTTTTAGGTGAAAACCCATATCTTGGGATCTGCTTAACCAATTTCAACCAAATTCGGTGCATAACGTTCTTTTCATATTTCTATGTTATAGTGCGAAAATGGGCCACGCCTATTTCCCACATAACACCATTTTCAATTCCATCTGATTCTTTCACTTTTTACTATGCAAATCAAGCAACAATGATTGTATCGTTGTAAAACTTTGCGTGAATAATACGTTAAAGTATGCCACCTTGTGACCAAAAATTGTCTAAATCGAACCAAAACTGTTCAAGCCCCTAAGTATTAAATACAGCATAGTCCCAAAATATATTTTTTTATAAAAACGAAATAAAGTTGTATAACTTATATACATTATCCGACAAAACTAAAGATACCCCATCACATTTTTTGCTATTTTTTCAAAATTAGCAACCTCAGCAAAGGTATATATAAATTGTTTTGTCGGATACTATAACTCGTATATGTTTATACCTTATCAATTCAAGGGAATGCCTTGCGCTATCGAGTATTCCTTCTCAATAGCCAGCATCGCAAGTTGCTTGAAGTGTATTAATTTACCAACAACTTCATCAATCTAAAAAATTGTTTAACTAAGATGTACATGCATATATAATATAACGGTTTGTCCGCTAATGTCATTGCAGTTGATTAATGTAATTTTATGCAAATTATTTAATTCCGCAAGTTCTACTAACAAGTTCAGGTGCAATCCCTTTTATTGCAACAAATTTCAAAGCATTTCATTTGCCTCAATAAGACTACACTTACGGTGTCTTTTAATTAACTAATCTCTTGAGTCAAAGCAAAGTATTTCAAAAGCACACCACAAATACTTCTCTTGACGTGTCGCTTTGAATTCATTTCAAATGGGCTCGTTTACAATTGCCACACCTGTCGTTCGTAGAAATGTCTCTAGCTGCCCCTAATACCCGTTCACAGGTACTTTGTACTGTGGTGACTTAATTCCAAGATGCGCATAAATTACCGTCACAACGATTGGCAGAGCTCGTCATGCATTTCACAGCAATGCAGCGAAGGAACTGTCTGGCCATGAGGAGCTAAACGACAGCGCCGATACCAATACACTCATGCATGGAAGCGCATATAGCGACATTTCCCAGAGCTTCTGTTATTTATAAGTAAGGTTGGCTTGGCGACGGTGTCACTCTAACGGTGTTGGGGATTGCGTAACACTTGCTACATAATGCTGGCAATTAGCACGAATCGTACTTAAGATATCAAAGGAGTCGAGGAGTGCAAGGTGCTACGCAACTTGCTGTTGGCAAAAGCTTTGGCGCAGTCTTTGTGTTTTTCCCAATTTGTACTCGTATTCTTTCACAGTAAGCGGCACTTCTCTCATATTTTATCATTCAGAATATGTATGTAAGTGTATATATTTATTTATAATGTTGATTTTTCCAGGGAGCTTGAAATATTCTCTGATTCTCCAAAAACATATGTATGTGTGTGTTAAGTTGATTTGACAAAAAAAAAAGCTTTTATAGTTCTATGCTGCCTTTCCGGCTTTTGCTACATTCTAGTAGTTGTGAACTCCTCCAACTAAAACATTCATTAGATTTCATTTACTTCATTATTTTCACCTTTCCACATTAATTTTGTTAATTAATTTCCTCATCCATATCTTTGACAGTATTACAACTATTTACAATTTTTAAATTAAAAAAATGTTTTCCAAAGTTCGAAGTAATGAAAATATTGCTGCCGTTCAGGCAAATGTTGCTGAAGACCGTAATTGTCAATTTCAAGATTTGGGCTTGCACCTGTATAAAATTGCTCTCAATCAAGAACTGAAGCCATTGGACCACCATAAATGTCGTGAATTTGATAGTTTCAAGAAATGGACATTGAATGGGCTCCAAAAAGTTGTGATTTAGCACCATTAGACTACTGGTGGGGTTATTTGAAGTTATTGGTCTTTAGCAATAAAACAGACACTCTTCAATCTTTCAAAGTCAATATTGAACGTGCTATTCATGACATACGACTTGATTTTGTGGGAAAAGCAATCGAAAATTGGGTTCATCGAACTCCTTCCTGCAAAAGAAGTCGAGGAGGCCATTTGAATGATGCTATTTTAAGAATTTAATTGTATCGATTGTACTTCACACTAAATAGAAATCATTTGAGTTTCCTCAACAATTCGTGTGTGTGTTTTTTATCACTTTTATTGGAAATCCCTTTAGCTTCATGAACTATGAGCACTAATATATCCAAAATCGAGCTTATATTTAAGGCAACAAAAGCACTGTAGACCAGTATAATAAGGCGAACATTTTGTACTCTCGCAATTTGCAAAGACCTAAGGCGGGACAAAACTTTATATTTAAAACTATTGCGAAAGAGTTCAACATTCATTTTCTGCAGCTGAATTACCATACATTTCTCTCGCAGCATATTTCAACAAATTTCAACTTTAGATTTGAACATTTCATTTCGATTTTGCGTCTCAAACAAAAGGAATTTTTTGCCACGAAAGCACTTGCTTTAAAAATACAACCCCTTTGAGAACTTTGAACAGTAACACACTCCTCTTATCATATAAAGACTTTTTTTTCTTATCAAGGTAGATTAAATAACCGCTTGTGGAAGTGAATATACAACACACATATGGATTTTTACCCAGTAAAATAAACTTATAATCGCTAAGTTCTTTTTCTATTTTGAAAACAAACTCCTAAAGTAATTTGCATTTTTCTGAAATCACTGAAATAAATTGCAAAAATTGCCACATACACCCACATATCCTCACATGTGTTTAGCTGCACTGCACAGCCACCACGCATACCCCACCTTCCCCAACCCCCCAACCGAACGATGTCCTTGTTTGCACATAAACGCCTTTGAGCCACGTTACGTTTTGAAATGCAATTAGTCGATTACCCACATAGGCGAGCAGCTGCAAATGCATTGGAGGCACGCATTTTCGATTTCTGCCGCGCAAATTGCACACAGCCATACATGCATAAATATAGCTACTTACTCATTACTAAAGCGCCAGTTTCTGTGGCAGCTGCTTTACTCGCTTTAATGTGTGCCACAAATTCACTCACATATGCGAAACTGTTTGCTCTTTGTTTATATTTTGTTGCATTTGGTACGAAATGCATTGGCCTCGAAGTGCAGTCGCTTGCAGCGAAATTCTAATGCACTTGACAATTATGGAGCCTAGTGGAATAACTAAAAATCAACGCTGCCAACTGCTTTCCTCTTCTGAATGGGTTGTAGGTGTAGCGGTTAACTACTCTCCGCTTGGGTGCTAAGGTTATGGTTGGTTGTCGTCGAAGTCATTTAACAGTAGGCCCAGGAAACGTACTGCTGCGAAGGGGCTCGACCATTGGGAGAGAGGTGTTAGATGAGTGGGGTGGAGTTGGTTAGAGTCATGCGGAGATTCATTGCACTCTGAATATATACTTAGTATCTCGGACACGGTTCTGGATAAATAAGAGTTTATCCTACTACAGTATCCAGAAGAAAAAAGACACCTGTGAGGGGTATAGTTTCGGTACAGCCGAAATTAACGTTTTTACTAGTTTTTATATAAATATTAAGGTATATCTCGTACATAGACAGTTACTCAGATATTATATAAAAATTTAAGCAAAGTTTAGCTTAATTAATGTAATTGAGTTCCAGTGGCTACATCTTAACAAATTCTGGACCAATTATCCAATTCTCTTCTTTGAAATACGAAAATTTTCAAAATAAAAATGACATTTTTGTCCCAAAATTACCAACGACTGTATAATATTATTACTATACATTATAAAGCTATAAGGTAAATCTTAATACCTAAAATTCATAACATTGTAAAAATATCTTTGTATATAGAATCATACCCCTCTCTTGTAATCTTCAGCAGAGCAATAGAGTCCCAGCATTTCAACTCACCAAAAATCCCAAACGCTTTGTGGAAGCAAACATATGTGTGTATGTTTATACATGCATATGTATGTAAATAGCCTGCCACAGCAGATGTTTTCCGTTATCGGAGGCCGGCAAGTTTCAAATTCGGTCAAGAACAAAGCCGTGAGTAGCATATGTTGTAAAGGTTTTGGATGCCGCGGCTTCGTCTGCGTGGGTCAAAGTGTCTGGGTTAATACGCACACACATACATGCTTATGTACATATATTTTAGTATTTTTTGACAAGCAAAATTTTGAAGGATTCCTCTCTCCATTTCAGCACCAAACGTGAAACTGAGGGGTTTGAAACCGGCAAATTAGTGTCTATAATGACAGTTCGGCCTACCGATACAAATTCCGACGACTTACTCGCCATCGTCTGGGCAATATCAGCTGGCACAAAGAGTGCTAATGGAATTAACTCGTTGCACAAAAGCGCTAATAATATCCCGTTAATGATGACGCGTAACGATCTCCACAATCGAATGACACAACAAATGCCATATGCGATGTATTACAGCGCCAATAACTACAACAATAACAATGGTCCTCCCTTTGACGCTAGCAACAGTAGCGCGCAGCTGCTACATGTACCTACAACAACAACAGTGACAGCCATAGCTGATTCGCCACATACGAGTACGGTCATGTATGACGAGCAAAACATGGAAGTCATCAATCGCTCACTCTTGCTGACGACAGCTGTCAGCGCCTCCGCAACGCCTGCCAGTGGCAGCAACAACAGCAGTCCACTTCAAACGGGGTTTATGGCCAACAACACGAATAATATCGCAACTGCCATGGACGCGGACGAGGAATGGGCGCGGTTCTACGATCTGATGCTGTCGTGGCAGGGCATTTGTCTAATTGCTGTCTTCAGCACTTTCATTGTGGTTACCATCATCGGCAACACGCTCGTCATATTGGCCGTCATAACAACGCGTCGTTTAAAAACCGTAACTAACTGCTTCGTTATGAGCTTGGCTATCGCTGACCTTCTGGTGGGTATATTTGTGATGCCACCCGCTGTAGCTGTCCACCTAATAGGTGAGTCAAATTATGAGATATGACAGTTGAATGATATTTCCGTTTAATTATGCCGAAGTTATTTGTTCACTACTCGAATATAATATTGACTTCGTATTTACATACTTATCTAAATATGTAAGTATGGATCAAATCATTGAAAATTTCATCTTCTTAAATCCAAATTTTTGTTATTATAACCCTTGTTTTCTTACTTTTATACGATATATAATATAATATATACAGATAGAGAATTGCTTACTGAAAAATTGTTATAACGAAAATGTGAACAAATTTTGCGGACGTTTTATTTTAAATCCACCAAACTATACAAAACATTAAAAGTATCTTTCGAGGGCTTTTATAATCAAGATTCATCTCCAAGAGAAGCTTAAGTTTTATTTATTTATATAATAGAAATTATATATGACGAAATCGTAAATGGATTACGATTATATTTGGTATCTTATTAACTCATACCATGCGCCATAGACTCACTAAGTTTTATTTCTATAATTTGCCTCGTATCTGAGATATTTATAAATAAACTATATTAACTTAAATGAGATATATGTGATATGAACTTAAACAAAAGGGCGTATGAAAATTGTGTATTTAATTTGTTAAAATATCCCTTTAAAGTGCAAACATAGTTTCTGTAAAAAGCCAGCTATTGGTACCGGGTTACACACACTCGGTAACGAAAAGCTTGCGAAGTTAAAATCCGACAATTTTTGACGCGAGATGCATAGCCTAAATACATTATTTGCGCAAAGTTTTATTCCGATATCTTTAGGTTAGTTTCTCATTGACTAATTATCTCTAGCGAGTCAAGTTGCTGCTGAAAAAAGGTTTTTAACTCAAAAACGAGTAGAAGAGAGCACAAGTTGACAGCGTACGGAGCTGGGCGAGCTGCTAGTGAAATATTTGTTACCTTAGTTTTCCGCCTCTTTACTTTTTCGTTGTTTCTCTCTTTGTGAGAGTAACTTCTCAAATTTCGCATCCTTATCTTCCTGATAGACAACATCTACTAGCACTTCAGAAACATTGACACAACCTCTCATTGGTCTTTGATTTATGTACATATACGTATAATGTAAAGTGAATAAATCATATTGAATTTAAAATTGAGAATTTGAAATGAGCGCGTTTGTAATTCGATTTCACCCCCTTCAATACTGTAACATCAGGATATGAAAATTATGTTATTTACCAAATTTTGTTGATAATGAGGAGTAGTTTCTGAGATTTCACCTAAAAGTTAGCGATGCTACGAACATTTTCCAATCTTTACACCGACTCCTGTGAAGCCCTTTGTAGTTTATTAATAGTATTTGTGGGTGTGGCAAGGTCCAATTTCGTATATCTGCCATACAAACTTTTTCAGGGTGCCAAGAACCACGTGTAGCAAATATCGATATTTTTACTCAAGTTAACGCTGCATGGGCGAATGCCTAACTCGTATCGTCATCCTAATCTTATACCTATCATATTGTATATACTTATGTAATATATATCTATCTTTTAGGTGTTACGGATCCAAAATCGCTGAAATCGGTTCATATGTTTCATAAGTTGTAATGTCACTTTAAACGGTTATATACCAAGATATAATGTTAAAGGTTATTCAAATAGCTTTACTTTTTATCAACGATTTTTCGATTGCTTTCCTATACATAAGACTATACTATATAGAAACAAACAGTATGCAATTTCTACTCCGTGAAAGTTTTAGGAAGAGCTTATGCTTTGGGTCAAGTACCAACCAGTACAAAACGCTTATTGATTAAATATTTGCGCTAACAAAGACGACATTAGTTTTAACTTGGGTTTCAAGTAATTCGGTCAAAACTGTTTCGCGTTTGAGCAATGAATGGAAGGTAGAGAAGAGGTAAAGTGGAGAAGGAGTCCTTTCAGCATTGAACTTTTCAACTTTCTTTTTATTACAATAAGCCGATTTGCACTATTACTAAAATTTTGTGTTACAAGAATTCATATTTTTCATTATTTATACTATCTAAAGGTAAAATTTGTTGCCATGTTCTTATTCTCACTGCATTTGTATTTCTGGGTATAAAGTAAATAAAGAAAAACAAGGGTGGCATGTTGAGCAGCTGAACCTTTTGTCGCTTAATAAAAGTTTTCAACATACGACCCTTGGCTACAACGTGAAAAATGTTGAAATCTTTGAAAAATAATTTTCCTTGCTTTGACATAAAGGTTTCTTGATTGGCAAACTTATCAAAAGCATTGAAAAGGTACTCATTTTATCAATACACTGGCGGGAGATGAGCTCAGCTTTGCAGGCGTTCTGATTAGTATGCTCATCGGCCCCTATCTGTTTCAAGTCAAAGACATGGTAAACCAAAATTTAAAATTCTCGAAATGCTCGAATGTGCAATTGAAAGATAACTTTTAACTTGATTTCTTAAACATTTTCGTTATGCTTTCGAAAACTTTATGAAACAAGAAAAACGTTAACTTCTGCTGGAAGCTGTAGCTGGAAGCCAATATATGACAGGTTAGGAAGTTCAGAACCCTATGCTACAATTTGTGATTATTGACTTCATTTTCTGATATTCTGTATGGATTATGAAATCACCGTTCTGTTAACTCGCCAGCGCTCCCATTAGTTCCTTAAAAGTTCAGCTCGTCTTTGAATAGTTTACATTCTTGCTCCGCACTAACGCTCTGTTGAAAATAGCAGTAAAAAAAACTGCCATTTTGACATTGTCACCGTGTGCCGTTGTGCCATTGTATTTTCTATAAAAAGGACATTTGCCATTTTCATGTCACCTTTTTATACTTGCACAATACAACACCTTGCCAGAGGCTCTTAGAAAAAAATTAAAGTTTTCACCTGCTCGTTTTTTTTGTTTGTATTTCATATTATTTTTATTTTGGCTTACTTTGTATTTCTTTATTTCGGTCTACTTAGCATTTTTCTGTGAAAACTTTTAATCCAATTTTACTGGTACTTTGCTTACGAAGAAGTCACTTAAATGGCATGTCCCTTTCACTCCGTGTCATTGCAGGCTCCTGGCGTCTGGGATGGGTGCTCTGCGACATTTGGATATCACTGGATGTGCTGCTTTGCACGGCGTCCATACTGAGCCTGTGCGCCATCAGTGTTGACAGGTGAGTACGAAGAGGAGCAGATGAGCGCCTAATGTCCAGGCCATACCATGTAATTAACCGTTGAATATTTGAGTTAGTCGAAAACGTTAAGTGGAACTTTTAATTAAGAACGAATTTGTGAACATGAAAACTTTTTTTTTTAAATGAGAATAGGAAAAGGCAGCATTTGAAGTTTCTTTTTATCAATGCAATTAATTTTTATAAGCTACATTGACTAGATATGTCGTCTACCTTCCTTGTTTGTTTGCTTTAGGTATTTGGCCGTTACGCAACCTCTGACCTATTCACGCAGAAGGCGCTCCAAGCGATTGGCGTTCATAATGATTCTGGTTGTTTGGGTCCTGGCGCTGGCTATCACGTGCCCACCGATGTTGGGTTGGTAAGTATGTGTGTGTGTAGGTGTGATTGTATTTTTTTACAGTATGTCTGGCGGGCATTAAAGGTACATTGCTTGATTAAATTTGATAAATCCAAAGACGCACACCTTCCAACCATTCACATGATTGCATGTTTCTGTGAAAGTTCCTTCCTAATCAAAGCGGAGCACACGTTTAATGAATATGACAGTGAAAGTAATTAGAAAGATGGAAATGACTTTTGAAAAGGTTTTTGAGCACTCTTCAATTATTAGGAATTTTTATTCGGCAACAAATTTTCTAAATTTGTTAGTGACCCCCACTTTCTCAAAAATCAGTATTAGCTCTGAATGTAATCACAATGTCAACAATTTCTCAATTTTTGTTTTAACAAAATGTCGGTTGCTTATATTTTAGATGAATGTTTATTCTTGTTAAAAGTTTTATCAATTACCACAGGTGTCAAATTTTGTCTTCTCTTTTACCTCCGACTGTACAGGTACGAGCCAGGGCGACGAGATCTAAGCGAGTGCCGTTACAATCAGAACGAAGGATATGTGATTTTCTCGGCCATGGGCTCATTTTTCATTCCGATGGCCGTTATGATTTATGTTTATGCGAGAATTTCATGTGTTATTGCGTCACGCCATGACCACATGACAGACATCAGTGTCCATAACAAGGTGAGTAATGTGTGTCTTTTCAGCATGGTGTTTTTTATGATTAAATTAATGTGCGTTGACTTTGAAAACGGCGAGATGAAAAATTAGATATATTTTTCGGAAACGTGCTGGTGTTCTCTTCGGTATTTTTCAGCTAAATTCAAAATTTAATGCTCGTTTTGTAGATGTTCAGCAATTTTGAGTAAAATAAAAAACTTTTTGGATATTTATGTGTTTTTCTGTCCTTTGTTTTTGCAGAAGTTCAAGCGCTACACAGCCGCCGATGTAGAACATGACATTGACCATGACTTCTCTGAGCAGGAGCTTAGTTCGGGCCAACGAAAACAGGCAGCAGCCCGCACATTTTCGAACCAAACCATCGCCAAAGAGCTGCACGACGTGATGCTGTGCGAAGGTGAAGCTGGCGGCGTCACTACCACGGCAGCTACTGACAGCAGTGGCAATGATAATGACAACGGTGGTGGTGGTGGTTCTTCACCTCATTGCCACTCTCTACTTGCTCTAAGCACAGCGAATGCCAAAAATAATTGCTATGAATTAACGCGTCCGTCATCTTTAAGGCGTACCCCGACATCGTCCTCCACCACGACCGTAATGACAAGCGGTTGCGGCGGTGGCGGTGGCCTAAACATTCCTACAATTGGCAATACAAGCTTAAGTGATCAGCACTGGTCGACACGTACGCTTAGCGTGCGACACCACCATCACTTTGGCGCTTCCGGCGGGGGCGGCGACAGCGGTGCGGGCTTAAGTGCGATTGCTTCGGCAGCAGCAAGTGATACCACTTCGTCAAATTTACAGCCGGAAGCTGCTGCACCGACACGTCACACGCGCATACAGCAACAACATCATCATCATCACGCCAAATCCCTTTCGAATCGCATCACTTCGCTGAAAAAAGAGAACAAAACTACGCAAACGCTGAGCATTGTTGTGGGCGGTTTTATCGCCTGCTGGCTACCGTTCTTCATATATTATCTGATAACCCCTTTCCTGGAGGACCATCAAGTAAGTCGAACGTTGGCGAAGGGACTTACCTGGCTCGGTTGGTTCAATAGCGCTATAAATCCCTTCATTTATGCCTTCTATAGTGTTGATTTTCGTGCGGCATTCTGGCGACTGACATGCAAGCGCTTCTTCAGTGTCTCCATGAAACCACAATTTCCAGCGAACACTATGTCCATAAGACGATAGTTGAATGTTCTGCAAATATATTACGTATAAATAGTTATATCTAGCTCGTAAGTGTAGAGTTGTCCAAATGAAAAGTAAGAAGTGGGGAATGGAATATTTTTTTTTTTAATGTTAAAGTTTGTTTATTTGGAGTTTGGTAAAGCGACGTGGCTCCTGCAGGGATGACTTGAAACTTGCGTGTGACTGAGTTCAGGTTACAGTTCACATAAGTCCTACATTGACATTTAAATCAGTCCGAGGTTAATGTAGTAAATATCTCGATGGGATTCGCACTACCCACAGATTACTTGACTTTACTCTTTGGACGCAAATCTTGCATCATTAGAAAACGTTTTTGTATTGTGAATCATCGAGAAATATATGACTTGAACAAGCAAAGTCTACTTATATTTCTAGAAGAGTTAGCATCAATTTGCAATTGTTTTCATTCTAGTTTTCATATGGCGTGTAGGCAAGACAGACTCATATGTGACGGCGCTCAGATCATTTAAGAGAGCTGTTATTTATAAAATATATGAGGGTGTGGATATCACTAATGATAATTATACGTCGCATAAGTTGAAAAGTTGACAATAAGAAAATATTATGGTAATACAGGTAACTAGAATGAATAGGTTATATTGACTAAACATTGTTGACTTAATCAGTGCGTGCGCTCCATCCTTGAACGTTGTATCAACGGCAATCTCTTGAAGTTTGCTTCAAAATAGTCATGTTGATGGGTTTTCCGGTGGCTATTGCGGTTACTATTCGATTGCGGAATGAGTTGACTTTATGGAAACTCCTTATGTGGAGTTCCATTGCAATCAAATGCGGGACCAATAGTACGGAATTGGTTTTAGCTGGGCATCGAACCCTACCAAGATAGCTAGAGTGATCATTCCACACTACTAAAAAACAAAAAATGCTTTATATTGTAGAGTGGTGATGCAAAGTGATGGCACTGATTTGATTTCTTATGGTTTTAAGCACTATGGGTTAATGCTATCATCAGTAGGTACTCACGTTACACAAACGATTGTTTTATAATTTGAATGTATTGTTTTAATTTTTGGTGTTATTTCACGATTGGTCTTATTGGTATTCTAAAGTTCAGGTTTTAGTTCAAAATGAAATCCTGAAGAATGGTTTATTTTCAAATAAATCTGAATTGATTACCAATTAACTCACATCAATCAGTTGCGGTTTTTATACCCTGAACAGGGTATATTAATTTAATTAAATATTATTTCTAAATACAATACAATATATACAAATAGCTTAAAAACTGAGGGACTAGTTCGTATATATACAGACAGACAAACGGAAAGACAGGCGGACATGGCTAAATCAACTCAGCTCATCATGCTGATCATTTATGTATATATTTTATAGGGTCTCCGAAGTTTCCTTTTCCCTGTTCAGGGTATAAAAACCAAGTGCCTTCAGTTGTTAAGATCCGACTCTCTCCAGTCTCAACCTACTTTCATTTTGATCGAGCACCGGAAGTTTAGGTCAAAAATTCAGCCGGGCATATGCGTTAAAAATTCTACGCAACTGTTCTATTTCAAAATAAAAAAAATTATTGAACGCAAGGTATTGCATTTTTCCACTGAATACCAAACTATCTATTTTTCAAATTTCATCTAAACTGTTTTAACGCCCACGAATGAATAAAACCATCAACCCAAACGTCAACATTGACATGACGAAAAGAACACACTATCCGGATACTGGGGACTGTAACCACCGTTAGTCAGTCAATTCATTTCAAGGGCAACAGTTAGAATTCATATATGCCCCTAAATGAAAGTGGAGCAAGCTTTCACGCACCATCACATATAACTGAATGAATGTTTATGTGAAAGCGGTGGTCACACTAAACTGATTTCTAATATGTAACGTTGGCATATTTATGAGTTCGTGTTTATTTTTCTGTGCAAAGTTAAATTGAAAATTTATTTTTTTCGTTATTTTTTGCCACACGAGCTCACGTGTATTGCAGAATCACTTTGAATATGGCGCAAACGTATTTCAGTGGCGCGAAAATGGCCGACACGCAACGTGACTTGAATTCGCTCCGCAACAGCGTATGTCGCACTAATATAATTTAGTTGCATGGAATATGTGGAACTATCAAAAAAAAAGCTTAACGTTCACCTTTCAGACTGACAGTTCGTTTGAAAGTTGTGCTGCAAGAAATAAAAAAAGCCATTAACGCAAAAATTTCGAAATTGGATGCAATGCAGAATAAGCTGCGGGGGCGCGAAGACTAAGGCGTGCTTTTGCTATAGTATAACATAACAAAAGAAAACATATAAAAGTGTCCATTGCAAGTTTGGTGGAAACTTTAAACTGAAGTTGCCACGGGCGAAAAGTTGGCTCACGAAGCTGCGCACGTAAGCGACTCAACAGTGCGTATGAGTAACTTCGAGATTTTCACAATAATTAAGGAACAAATGAGCTAAATAATATTACAATATATTATATAATGTATGTGCTTTACGTAGCACTTCCATGTAAATAGCTTGCTAAAGGCCTTTTAGTAAATTCAGTTTGTTTGCTAATGGGAAAACTGAGCTTATAAAGTTGTGATTAGCTTAGATGATGTAATTGTAATGTACGAAAGATGTAAAAAAGCAGTTTCTATGGAAGCACGTAAAAGTCATCAAAATCGCTTACCAACTCAGTTTTCTAAAATAGTGGCTAACTGAATTATGAAACAAGTAAAAATACTATATTTAGGCTTTTAATATTACGAAAATTTTAATTAACTTTGTAATTGCATTAGGGCAGGAAGTAATACGATCGTTGAATGGCAAAACTGTTTTAATAAATGCTTAATATTTAAGGCTTCATTTAGTTAGTTTAAAAAATATTTTTAACCGAAGCTCATATCATAGTTTTTCGAGACTCATCTGGTACTGAGAAACTATTCTTATAGATAAGTACGTGCTATTTAAATAGTTTCAGGCTGATCAAAATGTGAAAAGTGGATTTACTACAGAGCATAATGGGATGGAGAGGATTGTGATATCCTAAGCCCAAAAAGAAGCGGTATATTTATAGTATAGCATAAATTCTTTTGTTTTGGATTTCTATTCGGTACAACAGTCTCTGTTAGTATATTCATATATATAGATCTACATACATATGTAAAGGCAAAAGCAAGTGCTTTGTTTTTTCATTTTGACTTTTGAAAACAATACTCATAAATAACATAGTAAATAAATATGCGAAACTTAACTTAAACTTATATGGGAGAGGTACGGAGATGTTTAGTGTACCAACAAAAAAATGGAGCTAGCCTTAGCTTGGGTCTGTACCTGACAGCTGCTTATTCCTTATTTGAAACCCAATCTGTTTGAACAGCTTGTTTAGTTTGTTCGTTTCGCCAGTCTTCAGCGTTCAGCTAATATAACAGAATTATAGGATGACATCTAGATTAGTCGGCAAATACTGAACGACAACCTTTAAAGAAACGAACATTTAAAACACTTAAATACACATAAATATTTCTGTGAAAAGAATTCAAATCTTTGTGATGTAGTTTACAGTTTATGTACTTAAGTAGAAACGTGTACAGGTCTGTGTCTAAAATTCACTGAAATAATGGGTAATTATATTAAAAATGAAAATCAGCCGCAATCGCTACTATCGATAAGTTTGTTATTCATAAGCAATCAAAGTGGTAGAATTACAGATAATTAAGAAAACAGGATGAATAACCAAAGTTGTATGTATTTATGAAAGTAATTAGAATAAATGTGGCTACAACAATTTAAAATTACAAATTATAATGATTATAATTAATGTTTACATTAGTCTCAGAGCCAAAGCAGAGGAAACCAAAGCGTCAACACTCAAAGCTCATGCGATGCTCTTTGCGTGCGTCGCTGACAGCACGACAAAATTCCTGCCGATGGCCCACTCATTGAACCATTATGTATGTTAATGTTATGCTTAATTAAAATTCTTATATATGTATGCGCAGAGGCGCGCGGACCTTAAAAGAATGAGCTGACTTAACGGTGTCAGCAGTGTCAGCATTGTCGCACTCTAAACGGTAATAGTAATTACCGATAGAATGTGCTGACAAAACTTAAATACTTCCCAGAACTTGTAAAAGAAAACACGTTTTTTTTTTCTTCAATTTGTTTATTGAATTTATGTTGCTGGGTGACACCGGCAAGGGCGGCTAGTTGCGGGGCGGCCAACTCCCAAGGCGCGCGTGGACAAAGAGCCACGTGTGGCGAACAATTGGTCAGTTATGCGAGCGAGCTGGGCGTTTGCACGGCGGTGCCTAATTTATTACCACCGCAGTGAATCGGTTTTGGCGATTCTCCAACACGGTGTGTAATTCAATACCGTAAATTGGAATCGCAAGCGCTGCTTAACACCCACAAACCAAACAGTGTTGGCATTCGCTCAGCAGTCGCAGAGCAGCGCACAAATGGGGGTCCGCAACAAGGCACACAAATGAAAGCTATGATAAATGAACTTTTGAACAAAGCATTGTATTGACTCGCGGCCATAGCTTTGCAGTCGAAATTTTTCAGGCAAAAAGACTGTCATAAACTATCCTTGAAACGACATGCTCTTGGCTTCCGCCTCCACTTCGTGGTGCCTTTTTCAGTTGGCAGGAAAGTGTATTTACCTTTTAATTACTCATGAAATTAGTTCCGCTAATATTCTCTCTGAAGTTCCAAAGCACAAACAGGGTATTCTAACACGTGCTGATTATAAAAGAGCTCTAAAGATATATAGAAGAATGTATGAAAAAAGAGATATGGCACATCGCTCTTGAAGAACCCATTATAGTCTTAAGTTATTCTTTGGCACACATTTTTATAAAGTCAGCACAAAACCAAAAACAAAATATGCACTTATAATCTATAATATATAAAATATATATATAACATATATATATATATATGTATGTATTTATGCAATTACATATAATACAAGTATTATATATGGGGCAGGTGCGTACCACTAAATGTATATGAACCATTTGTAAATATGTGTTTAAAACAAACCAATACTGTGAATTTTTAATGTAATACATTCAGTAAGTCTTATTCCATTAATATAATTAGAATTGAATACTTAAATTTAAGCCCAGTGTTGGCTATAAACATGTTTTGTTGAATTTGTTGGACAAATTTAATTAAATAAATTAGCAAAAAATAAATAAATGTTACCCGCACTTTGTTTCATTTAAATTTGAATTATCAAAGGTTTTCTCTTCCAATTAATCAAAGAAGGAAAATTAATAATGTACATATTTAGTAATTGAGTTAATGCAGCTTCTGTTAGCAAAATTTCGAAGCAATCAATGTTAAATTGCTAACTTGAGCCTATAGCTGAAGATATTCTCGCATTACGCCTTTACGATACCAGCATGTTGCTAGAGTCACCGATTATCAGGGGGAAAGTATGGCAGTTATAATTTCACAGGACCTCCGGTGTTTCACCTTATTATAGTTGCGTAATCAAAAACATTAACCCTTAATACAGTTTTCACAAATTTAAATTGACTACTTTGGAAAACTGTTAGCTACAGTGGTGAAATCTCCAAATAAATTGTTTATATCCAATAAGATCCAAAGTGACCGACCCAATTCAAGTTCTTGTAAGGAATCTTTTGTATTTATGAAGGGTATTGTAGTTTCAGTGCAATCAAAGTTAACGTTTTTTCTCATTTTTATGATGAGATAGCAGCATACAAAGATAGCGAGCAGAGAAATAGCGAATCGAGGACGATTTATGTTACAAACAAGCCGCTGGTCATGACTAGTTCTTACGAACTTTTTTTTGTTTCCCACAAATTGCTTTCAAAAACTTACTCCCCTTTTCCAAAAACTCGTTTAAGATTGTTGTACGTTATTTTAGTCATAATAACGACAATGTCAACGTGAGTCCTTCAAGCAATTTATATTTGGTTAAATTTTAACTAAAGCTCTCAAATATGTTCAAATACAATGTTAGGAAAAGTGCTGAATAACAAGGAGAGAAAATAACAAACTTACTGAAACTAATAAATATTTCGCTACTATTTAATGAAGACTTAATAAAAAGTAATTAAATTATTGCAAGTCATACCTTTTTTGCTAAAATAATTCTGAGGATAAACCGTTTTTAATTTTTGTTATTAAACCCCTATAAAATATATACATAAATGATCAGCATGATGAGTTGAGTAGATTTAGCCATGTCCGTCCGTATGTCCGTCTGTATATACGTGAAGTAGTCCCTCAGTTTTTAAGACATCGATCTGAAATTTTGCACCTGTCCTTTTCTTCATTAAGAAGCTACTGATTTGTCGGAACGGCCGATCGGACCACTATAGCATATAGCTGCCATACAAACTGAACAATCGGGATCAATTCTTGTATAGAAAGCTTTGTAATTTGATGAGATATCCTCTCGTTACTTGGCTTGGATTATTATTTAAGGCAATAATGCAATCTCCGAACAAATTGTAGAGATCGGATGACTACAATATATAGCTGCCATATTAACTGAACGATCGGAGTAAAGTGCTTGTATGGAAAACTTTTTTAATTGACGAGGTATTTTCATGAAATTATTTCGGAATTAAGTTCTTGTAAGGAACCTTTACATTTTTGAAGGTCCTTATAGCTTTGGTGCAACCGATGTTAACGTTTTTTCTTGTTTTGGCTTTCAAAACTCATCTACCCTTTTCCAGATAGTAAATATTAGATGGTAATATGCCATTATTCTGAACGTAACTATTGCAACCTTTAATAGAAGTACACATGCATATAAAAATTCCGAAACCTATATGTGTATTCGCAAGTTTACGCATTTACTGATCAAAGTCTGGATAATTGAGAACGCAAATTAAATGAGGAAAAGATAATTCACACAAAACTAATGAACTGTGAATTACATTGCATAATGACACAAATTCGATTCCACAAAAAAGTTTAATGTCATCATTTTGACCTTGTGGATAAAGCAAGCACAGAGCTGCGTGTTTAATGAAACCGGTTTGCTCGATGGGATTTATTCATGGTGCTTAGCATATCCTTCGAATTTATTTGCCTGCCTGTTTGATAAAATTGCGTGTATGACTTACCAAATTACCGTCTAAATATTGGAGAATTATCCAGTAGTGTGCAACAGCTTATATACATACATATGTGTTATACATATAAATGCATGATTAAGCAATTTTTAAATAAATTCTCTATGGGAAAATCAATACTCGCACATATGTGTTTATTATATTTATTAAAGCTTATCTTAATTTAGAAAGCATTTCTGCTTTGTCATCAACATTTTCAAATATATTATATTTAAGATATAAAAGCTGGAAGTTTTATTTTTCTTACAGAAACAATAATTGTTACCTAAGAAAGTATACACACCTAAATTCCCTAAGATATTCCTTATTAATGGGGAATAAAGTCAAATATATATGGTATATGGAGGCTACGATCTTGTAAACCATTTCACCAATTTAAGATAGGGATGCTAAAAAAATTATGCCTTTTTAACGCCAGATCCATCAATTATTATATTGTACATAGTATGTTTTGCGATATCAGCACTGATAATTGTACAGGACATCGAAGTATAGAGCTAACGCTATAACAACCAAACTTGCTGAGAACAAGTCTGTTTAGCAACTTCTCACACAATACAAAAACCGGTGTAAATAAATACATTAGAAGCAATAAATTTTACAGACAAAAATAAATTTTACTAGTCGCCTTTTCCAACTTCAATAGTATCCTGACATTCCTATAATACAGTGCGTGTCCAATAATGATATCGGAATAAAACGTCACTCAGTCTCACAGCTAAAAAATGTCCAAATGCTATAACGCAATAAAATCAATCTGGGGCCTGGGTATATGGGGCTTGTACTCATTCCAAATGTTATGATTTCTGATTAGTTGGTTGCTTTTTCCTCATTTATTAAATTTCGTCACTTCAGTTTAGTTTATTTGTAGCGCATGCATATGTGTATGATATGTACTCGTAATATCTCAATGAAGCGAGAATATTTCGATTAGTATTATGTAATTTCGTAGTAAAAAGTTATGTCTATTGCACCTTTCCACCGCATTAATATGATGAATTGAGTTATTTGGGTTTATTAGATTGGTTTTAAAATTAATATTTTTGGATATGGGCAAAAGTAGTTCGTTTACAGTTACGTTGAGTATTAAATTTTAAATTAATTTGAAACATCAACAACCTAAAAATGCAGCACCGCCTACAAAATTGCGAGAGTATAACATTTTCGGTTACACCCGACTTAATTTTTTTTATATTGTGGCACCGTTGTTATAGTTAGAGTTATTCCTAAAATGTTTCGATAATACCGTTGAATAAAAATAAGGGGTGTACATTAGCTGATTTAATCATTTTCATATAGTGGTTCACCTCTACAAATAATATATGTATAAAATACTACATTTTGTGGACATAGTCAGTCATTCATTACCAGCGATAACTTTTTTCGAGATATCGCAAAATACCTTCTTCTTCCTTCTAATCATTTTGATATATACAAATCTATGTCTATCCTGCTTAGTTTTTGGTGTTACGAACAACCGTAACTTACCCTCAAATACCGTTTTGATTTTACGCAACAATTATAAAACTAACGTATTTTGTAGCAGGTTTTCCATAGTTCGAATTGTTCCACCTATGTCACTACACTATGGACAAATTGCAAATGTTGCTTTCCTGATGTGGTTTCCTCTCAAATTGACCTTGTAAATTTGCAGTTATGTAATATATGGTATGTAGGTTCATATATATTTTCTTGCAATTTTGGTTTCTTTCCAACTCAAATACAATTGTTGGTAGTGCGCCTTGATGGCGTATATATTCATATATCTTGATGATCTGCGTGGTATTTCTTTGTTGTGCATGCTACGTAAGCGTAATAAATTTATACTACACTGCGTCAACGTATATACCATTTATTTAAAGCTTAATGCATGTCTGCAGAAGCTAAGAATAATTTAAATTTTAGAAAAACTGTTAAAATTTCCAAATATCCAGCAACGGAAGAATATTATTATATTGAAGCAATCCTATATTCTCATTATTTATATTTTTGACACTAGTCTCCACACTTTGCATATACAAGTACATATGTATATGTATACTCGGGTATTTAAATGAAGCAACCATGCCTTACAGTATGTCTCAAAAGTATTTTCAGATAAAGATACTAAATTTCACTATGTAAATAATACTTTTCATTTATAAAGCTGCTAGCGGTTTCCCCCCCAACTCTTTGAGAATCATCGTGGTGATATAGCATAATTTCAGTCTCAGCACAAACACAAAACACGTTCTCCAAATTTTACGCCCTTTTGTGAGAGATTGTTTGGATCTGGACCCTCCCTAAGAACGTTATTTCGAGAAAAAACGCGTTTAAGGTTTCAACAACAGAATAGGTTAAGTAATAACAGCGCGTACTACTACCAGACGCTCACGTATAGGTGCTATACATAACTTCGTCAATATTTAGATTTTCGTTAAAAAATTTTACAGTGTATATAGTATATTTATAATATGTGTATAGTATTTTCGAAAAAAAAATTGACTACTATCTTAATTACAGTACTCAATATGTCAGTTTGACAAGAATTATGATACGTACATATGAGAAATTTGCAACACCTTCAAAACTTCCGCTACGTGTAAACCAACATGTAACCGGATTTTATCGACTGTAAATCTACATGCACATCCACATGCATAAACTATAAATAACAACACTTGCAACAGCGTCTGTTATTTGTATATGCCTTCACCTATCGGCATAAAAGCGAAAAGTTTCGAAGTTGAACAAAATCAGATATTGTATTACAGTTAATTCAGTATTGGCTACAAGCAAGTGCTTTAATTTTCGCTAGTAAAGTCAGGTGCTGTAAAGATTCATCATTCTCGGTAGTCTGTGCTAACTTTGCTTCACTGCACATATCCAAAACATGTTTGCTGGAGATTTACTTGTTGTTCAACATTTATGTTGTGTGTTATAACTGTACCACTAGTTTACGCAATGAAAAAGATGCCAATAAATCAATGCAAACGCTCTAGCTTCTCTAACACCTGCACACAAATATAGTTTATTTTTGATTATGAAAATACGCATATGTTATTTTGGTGTTATATTCAACGACCATTTTTTGTTTACATCAAAAGAAAATGGTGGTGCAAACGCACATAAATCAACAACACTGCGTACTGACTTGACAGTCGACCGAATGTTACTTATATGCCCCCGCCACGTACCAACGACTCACACTACCCTTTTTACGTGCTTGTTTTTTGACGGAGGCAGTTCAAATAGGTTCATTATGTAAGTGTTGTTTTGCGGTCTATATAATGGTATTGTTTGCTTTCAAAAGTAACATTCTTTTAGTTTTTCCTTGGCTCATTTGCTGCACTTCCTTCCTCGGCTTCTGCTGATTGTTTGTTTAAATGGCCGGAGGCTCGTTTAAGTCAAGTTTTGAGTCAATTTAAATGACTTTAGGCGACGAAAAAGCTGCTGATGCAAATGGATGCGTAAACATTTTCAATTAATCAAAAACAGAAAGTTGAAATTTACAACAAAAACAAGGCAGCAAGCAAAACCTGGCAATAAATTTCGCGCAAGCAACAGTCTATGCCGCTGAATACCGCTGTATATATGTATATATACGTATTTATTTATATATACTTATATTTGTAATATATACCGATTAAATACATAAGAATCTACTTTGGTCAAATATACTATTCGCTTTTGGTCTGTACTTAATGCAAAAGACTCGCCTTTCACCCGCCATTTCCTTTAATTTCCTGTCGCATTTTTCAGATCAATTATTGAGCTCAAAGCGACAGCATGTCAAATATTTACATTAAATAGGCGTGGGAGTGTGCATGAACAGATTTATCGAGCACATAAATTAAATTCTGTTTAAAACGCTTCTGCCTGAGTTAACCAAGCTTATTCTGAGGCGAATTACTTTGCATTTGAAATCACGTACATCATTAATAAAATCCATAAATGAATTTTATTTGAATAAGAAGTAATGCACAATACAATTAAATGTAATATGTAATTAATGTATTATTGCAGCAATATACTACTAAACTACAACTATGATTAGGTAAGTTTGGAAATGCCAGAAAACATTATGCTTTGCCTTACCTTAATAGGCAGATGAAAAGTTCGTTTCTTTTTTTAAGAAGAATAGATTTCTTTCCTAACTTTGAGGACATGGACCGGCGTTTAAGCTGTTAAGTGTGATCCTTCTTAGGATCGACCTTCTAACCTAACCTATCATATCTCACATCCGACTTCTTCAATAAAAGACTGTGCGAAGAAAATATATCGAAGTTGCTTTAATTTAAACACGATAGCCACAAGTCAATTTTATTTGTAAAACCATGAATTTTGTCTTTAGCTGTGAGGATATTTTCATTCCGTCCTTGAAGACTTTTGTTCAAGATAGTTAAATGCTGAAATAAGTCTGAAAGAAAAGGGCCTGTCAATAGTGCAATCATACAAACTGAACGATCGGAATCAAGTGCTTCTATGGAAAAGTTTTTAATTTATGAAGATATCTTTAAGAAATTTAGCATTAGTGTCGGTGGTGCAATCTCCGAAGAACTGAACCATTTCGACCATCGAGTCACTATAGCTTATAGCTGCCATACAATGTGACTAATCAAAATCAAGTTCTTGTAAGTATATTATAGCATCGGTGCAACCGAAGTTAACGTTTTTTCGTCTCTACATTGAAATAAACAAGAAACTGAAATTTCCCTCACCAGGACAAAGAGTTTCAAGAAGATAGAACGGGTGCAGACATTTCCTCAAACCGCAGACGGCAATCGCGTGTTTACTTTGTGAAATCACTTGCAACCACTATCCCGTTATTACCAGCACAGAGTACACGAAAATGGCAAAACTTAAATTACACCTGCCAACCGAATAGAAATCTCCATATAAATATATATGCGAATGCAAATATTTGTATAGGCTCTGAAGCGAATGTATTACTATTGCAAATTTCGCATTTGAATGTGAACTAAGTCTGCAGACCTGTGGATTTTCAAGAAGAGATAAAGCGCGCACACACAATTACACAAATCTATAAGGACTGCAATCATGTGACAGCGCTAATGTATAGTTGCAACAGTAAATGTGTGCGATGTGTGGCGACACCCTCGCCACCGCAAGCATTTCAGCACAAATTGACCAAAACCGCGCTTTTCGGGAGTGGATTTCGCGGTGGGTAAATATTCATTCCAGGTAACCTCGCGCTCATTTACGTTTCGGGTGGTGGGGAATGTGTGATTCGTGCTGCGAGTTTCCAATTTACTACCGATTTGTTACTTGCGCGAACAGAATTCACAAGGATTTCGAATGACAATTTTGAATACATCAAGACATACAAGTGTGTTCGAAATAAGAGCAGTGGTATATCGAAGAAAAAAATTATGTATTTTAATGTATTATAGTTCATTATTATTTTATATAATTGGTGATATTCAAGCGTTGTAAGAAATATTGTTTCTTTGAAAAATAACGTAAGGTGCTTCTTTAAATAAATGAAAAAATGTGTAAATAAATAAATAAATTTCAACTGTTATTAATAATAGCAGTATTGAGCATTTTACATCAAACGCCAATTGATTTATTTAAATAATATAAAATAAAGCTTAAATAATTAGTACTTTGGGGAATGACCGTAGTTGGGTGATAAAGCTGCGCATCTCGTAGGCATGGAGTCCGCCAAATGCCTATGTGACCTTCAACGCCTTCTTCACAGCACCTCATAACTGTTTAGAATTAGACTGTTTCTCTCTCCCTACATCTTCCTTGACCTCTGCCCAAAACATCTCAATTGGATTCAGCATTGCTAGCTCATAACCTCAACTCCATTTGAAGTAAACCAGTGTTTTGTCAACTTACTAGTATGCTTGGGGTCGCTGTTTTGTTGATAGACCCATTTCAGTGGAGTTTTTCATCCATAGTGTGGTAGCACAGTCGTCCTATTGTTTTAACGTACAATCCATCCATGTTAATACAATAAAACGGACCATGACCATACTTTCATTTTGGCACCTCCATGTTTTACCGACCTGGAAACATATCTGTAATGAAATGAAGCGTGTTCTGGCCTTCGTACTTCCTTCGTAACCAACCTTATATTTGGAACATACAGAAAAGGCAAAAAAACAATTTATTTTAGAATCTAACAAAATTTCTTTTCTCTGAATATAGAATATGATTATATCTACTAGATATCAATTTGCAAAGTTTCTAAAGTAAAGTATATTTATATTATATTTCGCCTCATTGTTAAAATTGATTTGGTTATTTAGAGATAAAATTAGCTTAGCTTACACAGTACGTTGTATATGGCAATATGGTTTCACAAATTGGCTAAGGCTTCACCTAAATAAGTAAATATCTATATACATATATGTATCTTTATATAAATGGTTACACCTAAGTTTTAAAATAGACGCAACAACTGTTTTATGTTGAATATTTGATAAATATATGACAGGTTTATATTTTGTTCGCTCGTTTGTAAATCTTCAAGCGTTTGAATACGCTCAGGAGAAAAGGCACCTGCCACAAATTTATTTTCATTTCTGCTGCCGAACCGGCGCTACTGCACTGCCGACTGAAGTGTAGTGGTACAAGAAACTCCGCTGAGCAGATCTAAATAAATTGCAACGCTTTAAATTTTCTGTCAACAGTTTGTATTCTCCCTTGTTGCTCGTTTACACTATCCATCTTCGGGTTGCTTAGCAGATTTGTCGCTTTCACTCGTCCTGCCACCAACAATTACAACGCTTACGGCCGAAATGGAAAACGGAAACTGCTAGACAGTTTCATGCTGCTTCAATCAGTTTGAAATACATTTTGAAACCCCCTGTAGTCTTATGCTTTCCGAACCGCTTTCTCTGTCTTTTTTTATTTTTATTTCGGCTTGTTTAGTTTTACACTTCTTAGCTCTATTTTGATGATCCTTCAACGGCAGTCTAGTACAATTACTTTTCTAATACTCGTGCATTTTTCTCCGCTGTAAAAAATGTATTTTGATTGTCCTGTGGTAGTGAGCCACTGTCTTGTCTAGTGTCTTGTTCTGTATGCTCTGTGCAACATTTTAGCCCCGAAACATGGCCATATGTTTGAGTGGCGGCTTCTGCTTACAAATGCGTCGACAAGTCAAACGCCAAAAGGCGGTGCGAAAATCCGGATTGTAGAAAGCGTAGATGAAGGGATTAATCGCGCAGTTCACCCAGCCAACCCATGTCAGAAAGGACATGAGACCCTCCAACACTGCCGGTGGAGGCAAGAATGGCATTAACAGGTAGTAGATAAAGAACGGCAGCCAACAGGCAATAAAGCCGCCCATAACAATGGTCAACGTCTTGGCGGTTTTCGTATCCCTCTTCGTTGTGGACACACGCATCGGTATGCGATGAGGGTGATGATGGTGATTGTGGTGATGTTGTGCATGCGACTGCTCTTGATTTTGTCCCAACATCGGATTGAATTTCAAACCTCTTGTTGTGGTCATGCTTGTGGTAAGCGTCGAGTTGGCCGCCAGACAATTATCGGAAAATGACATGCCATCCTCGACGAAGTGCACACCTTGCATGGGCAATGAGGAAGAGCGCCGTTCGGCCAGCGGTACAGCCATTGCTCTGGAATGCATACAGACGCCGGCGTATTTACAGTTCATTGCCGAGCACTGAATTATTGATGTTAAACGTGATACCTCAACCAACTCATAGAACGATGCTTGGTGCTTGAGACCACCACCGTTAATACTGGCGCTACCACTGTTGGCATTGTCGAGGTAAACCTTATTGCATTTGCTGCAATGCAAACTGAGATTTTTTGCAGAGCAATTGTTGCTGCTGGCATGGCCGCTACCCCAACGCGACTTGAACGAGGGAAACTTCGGTGTGGCACATTGATAATGCTCCGACTCCGAAATAAAGTTGTCACAGTCTATATCATGATCCGCAGTGCGCTCCGACTTCTAGTGTACGATAAGAGAGTACATGTGAAAGATAAAATAAATTATGTTAAACTTTCTTAGTATCGTTTTAGAACGTGTTAAAATATAGTTCCGCACATTAATCAAATTCACACCAAAAATGTACGGCGGAGAATGCGAAATGGCACAGAACTTCATCCACACCATTTGAATCAAGCCAAGCGTACTGAAGCTTGCACACTCATGAAAGTATACATAACAAACTTCACAAACACATAACCCGTTTGAACATACGTCACTAGTTGTCACATCTAGAACAACAACAACTTACCGCATCACGAACCATGCGCTGTCTCCGCGACGTAAGAACGTAGCCAATCTTCATGTAAACGTACATCATAACGGCGAGCGGAATGAAAAATGAGCCCATTGCGGAAAACACCACATATCCCTTATTTTGATTGTAGCGGCAAACGACATTATCTTCACGCCGACGTCCCGGCTCGTACCTGATGAAAAATAACAAAGAAAGAGTAAAAAAATATTGAACATAACGGTGAAAACTACTGGATGTCATGCACATAACCTCATATATATATATGAATGTGTGTATATATACCTACGTATAGCCCTCAAAACAGGTTTTTATGATTTTGCTGTTAGGAGTAACGTAAATACTTTTTAGAGCAACCTTCGCAAAACGGACGACTTTGCAATGTTGTAAAATATGTATATATGGTTGTATACATCTTCGTAATAATTTAGTTACAGAAGAAGTTTGAAATAAAATAGTAGATTTTACTTTGAGCTGTAGAAATAGTTTGAAGATTTGGTAAGTATTGCATCTTAACTTTCAGAGGACATACCTAGGGTATCAAATTAACTATTCCAATTGTGCTCTAAAAAAATAAGTGTGTTTAAAAAAGAAGAAAAGGAACGAGGGACTTGCGCCATGTACTGCAGAAGCCGAAAATATATATGAATATATGGCCTTTTTCTTAAAATCCTAGTCCAGGAATGATAAATATAATGGTCAATCACATATCGGTCGAATTTTTGCAGTTAAACTGAATTTCTATTTTCCGCAAATTTATAAAAAGCGCGTCGATTATCAATGCGGCTGTATATTGGTAAATGCATAGTCTATGTTATAGGCTTTCGTTGCCCCTGAACCTTGATTGCAGGGATGTTCCACACAGCCTCTTCAATACAAGCTTGAACTCCTCCGTCTTCTTCAGTCCATATTTTAATTGCATTGTATTGTAGGTTTCTATTGCGTCGTTGCACACATTTTATGTGCATTTTACGTTAATAACGGTACAATGTTATCAGCATTGTGTGGGATATCTTGCAAAATTCACACTGCAAGGTACTTTAACTCGTGTGCACATACGAATTGCCTTTTTTGTGTCGATAAGGATCCATGGAAGACTGGCGAAACATTTTGGTGATGTGCAAAAATTTAGTGTGTATGTGCGTGCATGTATGAATGTGTTTCACAAGTGCAATGTTAAAACGTTACGCTTTCTTGCTTTTTGTGTGTTCAGTGTTAAGCAATTCCAGTAGATTGTCTGCAGTTAAACAGTGGCAGTATGGCGATAAAACGTAAGTATATGAACAATATATTATATTTTTTTTTTCGTCACCAGCTGCTTTTGAGTCTTAAAACGCTCGCACACCCGTAACTTTAAATGAAATATTAGTATAATTTGCATTATGTTCACAGTGATTTGGAGTCAAGGTGGACCAGGAAGCATGTTCCTGGTTTGTGGGAAATGACTCGAAATCTATGAATGAACGCAGTTAAAGAATATTTAAGTACCGGTCGGCCCACCTAGCGTCTAAGTAGAGCAGGGAAAGCGAGTATTGACGAACTATTCACTGGATGGAGATAACCTAAACTTATATACGAGGTGTATTGAAAAGAAAAGTTGAATTTTGAATTTTTTTGGAAAGTACTTATCTATTCATACATATTTGTTTTGTCCCCTTTGAAGTAATCCCCTCGGATATAATACACTTGTACCAACCCTTTCCACAATCCTCGAAGCACTTCTGAAATGCGATTTTCATGCCCAAAATCATCGTTATTGACATCTTCTCGGCCTTCTGTAAAGCGCTTGTCCCACTTATGAACACTTTTTTGAGACAAAGTGGACTCACCGAATGCCATAGCCTACATTTCAAGTGCCTTGGAGCACTTTGTTCAATTTTTAATGCAAGGTTTAATACATATTCTTTGATCCACTTCCTTCAAAAGTCAAAAATAAAAGGGCACACAAAAACATGACTAACATTTTCTGTTTTCAAAAACAAACTACTAATCAAAATTAGCTCCTAATGCAAGCATCGATCGATAATCGAATGTACACAGCCCGCGAAAAATCAAAAATCACCTTTTCCTTTGAACACACTCATATCTTCTTAGAATGAAGGTACACATTTTTTACCTGACCTGATCTAGAAAATTTCAGTTATTTTAGTATTGCTTTAGATATCTTGTCAAATAAAACAGTTTTCCATACAACGACATGTCTTTGATCGTTCAGTTTGTAAGGCAGCTATGTGCTATAAATGTCCGATATCAGCGGCTCCAACATATGAGCAGCTCCTTGGGGAGAAAAGAACGGGTGCGAATTATAGAACGATATCTGAAAAACTGAGTGACTAACATAGTTCGCGTATATATAGAAAGACGAATTGACGGACAAAGCTAACTCAACTTAGCTCGTTCCGCTGATCATATAGACACATATTATATTTATTTTATAGGATCTCCGATGTTTCCTTCTGGATGTTACAAACTTCGTGGCAAACTTGATATATCCTGTTCGGTGTATACTGAATCTTTAGTATGATTACATCCTTAGATCAATTAATTTGCAAAACAAGACTTGGAGATAAAAATTTACGAAAAACAATGAGATAGCCACACCGATGAAGCACACTTTTGTTCAATGTGTAGGTTAAGAAACAAAATTATCGTATTTGGAGTATAATTTACAAGCAATTATTAAGACACCATAACATCTTCTAAAGGTCAATGTTTGGTGTACCCTCTGGACAAAGGAAATCATTGGTCCATACTTCTTCAAAAATGAAGCCGGCCATAATGCTATAGTCAATGGCAAATGCTATAGTGCCATGACTAATGACTTTTTCGTGCCTGAACTGAACAATGGCAAACCCTTATCTTTATATTAAAGCTAAAAATTCTTGACCATAACATTAAAATCTACGCATTATATTTCTGCTTGAAAACCACATGTTTTAAAAAACATTCTTTTACACCTTTTTTTGCTTTTAAAATATTTAGTCACTCTATTATCTGTCAATAATTGCACTTATATCTATCGAATGAATAAATAATTCATAAATTTTCTTGCTATCTCTAGACTCGTTCAATGGATTCGACTCAACTAATTAGTTCCAAACAAGAATGATAGAGGGAAGATTGTGCCATGACGTCATAAACGAAAGTAACATTCAAATTTCCATAGCAATTGCATACAAAGTCTTCTGTACTTCCGTTCAAGAGGTCACAAATTTATATAGTTTTCTGTCTGAATAAAACTGTCGTAATATCTTGTTATATCATTCTTGCGTCCGGTGTCTTTACTTCCTGTTTTTTATCAAGACTTAAGAAACGATAAATAAAGATACCATCAATCAACTATGAACGAAAAGCCTAAGCAAAAAATTTAAAGTATCACTCATTGAACAGTTAGTTATGTTATTGGTTTTATAAAGAAATTAGAATTTTCGTATTAAAGTTTGACCATTCAATCCAACTTTGGAGAGAAAATATGAATAACGTAGCAAAATACTCACCAGCCCAAGTACGGTGGACATGTGATTAATAGCGCCGTCACCCACACAATAAATATCATACCCAATGCCAAGCGCTTCGAACGGCGTTTTTTGGAATAATTAAGGGGTTGAGTCACTGCGAGATATCTAAAAATAATCAATTTTCAGAAATCAAATTGATGTAAATACAAAGGAGTGAATAAAATAATAGACCAATTGTTCCGTGTTGTCACAATGTTGCCGCTGTCAAGTACATCCTAAAATTACAATATTATATTATTCTACAAAACGTGGTCATTGCAAAAGCTGCTGAAAAGTTCTTTTTAACTGACATTAAAAAAGTAATAACATCAATGAAATTTTAGGAATGTTACCCATTATTAGGTAAATTTGTGAGTATTTTATTAAATCTACTATTAAAAACTATTCAAATGTGGTAAATTCAAGTCTAAGTCTGAGCAAATGAAAATTCGAGTATTAGTCCTTAGATGGATATAAAAACTGAAACTTACTGGTATTGTTTAAGACATTGGTGAACAAAGAAAAGAAAAACGTAGTACTTTTAGTAGTATAAACCATGGTGATAATGATTATTTTGAAAAAAAAATTATTTTTGAGATTGATTAACGAAATCCGCAACACTTATCAATATTTTTAAATAAGGAAACAAAGTGTTATCAAAACACGAAATTCATGTTTTCCCACTGTAAATAAAAAAGCAAAGGTAGCGTTAGTTTGAGAAGAAAAACTTGAGTAAAATTGGGTGAAATGTCATGAAATTTTGACAGTGTTCTCCAGTTCAACTATGTGATTTAAAAAAGGGTTGAATCTATGTAGTATATGCGTTACTGTTTTACAGTTATTGTCTAAAGCGTTTTTCATCGCATTAAGCAGTAAAATAATCAATGCTTGAATGCTAAATGCGATAAAAAATGCTGTAGATAATAACTGGAAAATTGTAACTCTCCGAAAATTCAGTTGCTCCGAAACTTTGAGCTTGCTCACCACCATAGAGCTCTAAGCGACGGATCTCACCATGAATACAACTATTTCATGAAGTTATATACCCTACCGCAAAATGACCTCTTTTGTATTTTAAGTGGTCTCACGACTAAGACTTAAGGTTATTAGATATAAATCTGGTTACCTTTTGGATTATCTTTTAGGATGACTACTAAATGAAAATTTGCAGAAGAAACTGACAAACGACTCGCAAATATAAAAGCAAAAAAATCATATTAGAACGGAACCCATTAGAAATGCAAGATAAAATGACAGAAATGAAAGGAAAAATTATATACGGGTCGGGAAGAGGAAAAATGGTTTATCCGCATTTTTGGAAAAACGACTAGTCCTACAGAAAAAAGTTGTGCGGCAAAGTTATAGAAAATGAAAAGATCTACAACTTCTCCATTAACATCTTTCTAACATAACCTCAAAATATATGTGAAAATTTGAAATATCCAATTTTTTGGTATTTTTTATATTTCTCTTGTACATAAAATAATTTTCTTTGACGATAGTTAGTGGCAACTTGCCTTATTATTTCCCAAACACACTGTATTTTTTTTTTTCAAAACATTAAGGGGAGGCCTTATTTCGACTTAAAAAGCAGAAAAAGCCTTAGTTTTCATTCAAAAATACTCACGTGAAAATATCAGATTTTTTAAAAAATCTGTAGGCTTTATAGTTATTTTAAGAAAGCTCAAATTTTTATAGAATAAAAAATATATACATTGCTATGGTAAATTTTCTCAGAAAATAAAAAAGGACCCCACTACGTTACAAGCAAGAACAATGCGAAATAGGACAGATATTGTGAAGACTGTAAATTCGAAGAAAAATAACAGCACTTATCAAAGTTTTCTTATTTATGTTTGACACTTTAAATCACTTTCACTTGGTGTTGCCTTAGCTCAGCTCTTTTCGCTTGCTGCAGTGGAAAACTATCTCGTAATAGCGCCATTTTTGTCTCCCTTCGCTAGTGCGTTTGTATATTTAGCTGTGAAATAAATAAGATGTTATCAATTCCTTTTCATAGTGTCGCCATATGCACAAGCCTTTGTGAGTTTAATAGATTTTTCAGCAGAAAATCAAAATAAGGAGCATTCAGCTATTGATACCATAGGAGATTCAATAAGGCTTGTAATGAAGCGCTGCTCTTTTCTGTTTTGAGTTTGAAAAAAATGTTAGTGAAACAACCAAAAGAAACAATTTATAGAACAATAATGTATTGTCCGAAAGACAACAAAAATATAAATAACTATAATTCAATATTTAACCGATCGAATTCGAACTGTAGTTACCGAAGTTTTAACCAATGTACAGCTAAATAATTGATCAAATAATCCAATACTTGTTATTGATAAAACAGTGTTAATATCGAAGACTGAGTTTTCTTATTCCCCTGAAACATCATTAAGTTTTGTACTCTCGCAACATGCCGCACAAAGCATAATAGTTTTGTTCACCTAACGGTTATTTTTTTAACCTTAAGCTAATCGAGAGAGATATGGAGTTATGTATACATAAAAAATCAGGGTGACGAAACAAGTAAAAATTCGGGTGACTGTCTGTCCGTCCGTCCATCCATGCCAGCGATAACTTGAATAAAAATTAAGGCAATTTGATAACTCTAACATTCAAACCATAAGGAAAATTAATACAAATCCTAAAAAATCTTTGAATCAAAAATAGCATCCCAAATAAATGTCATGTGGTGTATCTAAATTTGAAACATTCACTATGTATAAAAGATGTTTTAAATGGATCTAATGAAAAACAATTCCTTAATTCAACATTATCACAACTAATTTATGTTTTGAAATTAAAAAATTGCTATATAAAACCAAAATCCCATTAGTATATGTATTTCTTTTACAAATTAAAATCAATCTTTTATTCAAAAGCTCAAAACTCTGCACACGAATTTATCGAATGTGCCATTAAATGGAAAAATTGGAAATAAAAATTTGACTTCAATGCCCCAAGTCAAATTGGAAAAAAACGCTCTACTGTAAAATCTGATTTTTGTAACATACGATATTTTCGCAAAATGTTTTTTTCTTCTTTCTATAGTTATTTTAACAAAAATGTCATTAAATGTCAGTTTTTTCAACCTTTATTTATGAAATTCCATCTTTCAAATTTAATATATTGTAACGTTAACCATATACATACAAACATAAATCATATATAGACGTGCCATTAAATTGTAATTGAGACTTGTGTAGACCAAAATAAATGTATGAAAAACAACAAAAAGTATAAAAACTAACAAGCGAAAGCTCTAATGGCTGGAGCTAATACAAATTTTGGCAAATTTATTTGTTTATTTTAGAAGACTCTACTCCCATATTTGACGTTTAGCGACGATGACAGCAGCAACGATTAGTGGAGAGCACAATAGCGGAAGGGGTGAAAAATGGGTGAGCATAGTTCACCTATTTTGCAATTATTCCTAAAGCGCTGCGCTTTCTTAGATCACTTTCTATAATCAAGTGTGTTTGTAGATAAATGTTTGTAGTGTTTGCTTCCATTGTTAGTATGAGAACGTTGTAAATTACCTGTCGAGACTAATGGCGCACAAGCTTAGTATGGAACCGGTGCAGAGCAGAACGTCCAGTGAAATCCAAATGTCGCACAGGATCCAACCATAGCGCCAGCTACCTGCAACCCATATTTCCACACGCATATATATGTATATGAGTGTGTAGAGCAGCCATTAAAGTCGAGTTTCCGGCAAGGCGAATATGTAGAAGATTAAGAGGCTAGGATTAGTAAACATTTTGTGTGGTGTTTTGTTGCGAGGACATTAAATGCTCACAGTATTCTTGCACAAATTGACAAATAAACACACATGAACACATTCACACACATACATTAGCGCGCCGGCATTATCTGCACCTACTGGCTTCCTTGGAAACACTAGCTACAAATAGGCAAATTAGCGAGTGTGTGTCATTAGCAGATGTGACCTAACGGACAAGGTGCAATTACACAGTTACAACAAAAACAAACTGTAAACATATAATAAAACACGCGGTTGAGCACCTAAATGCATTCCTGCTAGTCCTAATTGCCCTTAAGCCTTGAATGGTTATACATGTACACATATTTACTTGCCCAATAGACGAAGTGAGCTACTGAACGTAACCACAACATAATTGTTCACATGCACACAGACATTATGTAGACCCAATAAACCAAAAGTATAAAGTTTTTTGCCTTCGACACACTTTTAAAATAAGGAAAAAACGAACGATAAGTCAAATGTTTTTAATACGATCTTTTTGCTGTTCTGGAACCTCCACTGTCCAGCTTCTGCCAGACTAAGGCTGAAGCATCTCGGTTCTCAAAGTGTATACTCACAGAACTTGTTTCGTAATGACGGCGACTTTCGAGGAAGTAATTTGTTTTAATTAACTGGGAGGCATTTACATGTGAGTCACTCGTCAGTTACTTACCATAATTGCTGTTAGCAAACGAACGCGAAATAAAGCGACTGCGAATCCGCCAATGCGCTAACGCAGACACACCTAGCCGCAATTCAAGGAAGGGGACTGGCGACATGTTGAAAGTTTAATAAAGTCAAGCCAAATGTCGCGTTCAAAGTCCCGTTCACATTCGATGTGGAACTTGACTCATATTAGTTTTTAAGCTATTGCATAGCTTCTATCGCAGGCTTTGAAAGCGGGGACTGAATCAAGAAATTCCGTTACGGAAATGAACCTAACACGACCACAAAATATGCGCGAAATGTTTGCATACTTTTAGGCATATTTTCACATATCTCAAGCATAAGAAATCAATTGCTCTTCAAGGTGATTCAAAAATAACAACAACAAGCAACACAATAGCTACAATATTTTTAATGGCAATTAAAAACATAGAATTTAATAAAAATTTAATTAATAATAAATAATAAATTATTCAATATTCTGAGTCATAATATTAATAAAACTATTATTATTTTGGTAAATTGCTAACCCAGCTTTTGAAACTGTGTATCATTTGACTTGAACAAATCAATTGAAATTAGGTATTTCAATCGAATTATCAATGGTAATAAATATCCACTTATCTTGGCCGGCCATTTTAACATTAACTTCGCTGATAAAATATCTGATATAGCGGTTGACAATTTTTCTCTCGGAAAAATTTTATTTGAAAATGAATAATGAGAAGATCCACAACAAAATATGGGACCACCATAGAGGCGGTATTTTCCAGATATTTAGAGAATATCAAGTCTCAAACTTATGTTTCCTATTTCAGTTACCATAAACCTATAGTTTCAATGATAAAAATTCCTGAATAACCTACATGTATTGTAAGATAATACAAATATTTTAAACAATATTAACTTCTCATTTATTCAATAAAAGAAAAAAATTTGTTTTCGTATCGATCACCATGCTCAAAAAGTGTAACTTGAACTAACCTCAAAGAAAAATAAAATACTGCATAAAAAATAAATAAATAATTATAATTGCTTTACCGCGGCAGTCCCCGAGTGCCATACCTACTTTTTTTTACTCTTGTCGTTTTTATCAACTCTCAATGAGAGCTTTTGTATATGGGCGCGATCATAAGTTGGGATTTTTTCATTGGCAAGCCTGCAGGACGGGAGTTTAGCGCGACCCTCTGTATTTCAAATATTTCTCTCTGCCGCTCCTCTCATTTTTTACACTTGTGTGCTGATTGCTGCGAAAATATTTGGGTGCTTCTCTGCCACAAACCATTTCAGTTGCGTTAGGCAATTTTTTAAGTTTCATACTATTTTTATATTTGCTGCAGGTACCTTTGTTTATATTTATATATGCATACATATGTATGTACGCATAGCAAAAATTTAAAAAGATTAAATATAGAATGCCACTCATGCAAATGAGTAGTTACATATCATACTTCTAACCTACACACTGCAGCTGACCCTCAAATAATTCTTACGGGGTATTAAACAAACAGTTACGCAAATTATTAAATATATGGATGAATAATTACTTTTGAATCAACACTCGTCCCCTTTATTATTCTATGGCGATTGCCAACGGTACACTGGCAATCGGTAAACTAACTTTCGCAACTGATAACAATGTAACCGCATGTCACACAACAAAAACACACACGCTCCTAGGCAACAACAACCGCACAAGCAATCGCAAATGAATTTTTCAATCACCGCAAACACAATTCACCTGTCTGTGGAACAATTTTACGGTAATCGGTTTAAACAACTGTCTATTGTAGCAGTTCGCCACAGAGCGAATGAGCTCGGAGTGCACCTGTAACAAGTCAATCACCTAAAACCACAGACACAATGCCCACCAGTAATATTGTTTTTACCAAATACATACATGCATACACAGGCACAGTGGATGAAAATATCCTGTTTTCATTGTAGAAATGAACCTCGTACGAAGGACTATGATGAGCGAATGTAGGTTGTACCCTTTATTCTTCAATATTCATTTTGAGTTGCTAATACTGCAAAGGAGATTATTTTCTGTACAAGTAATGCATATGTCTTCGAGAGTATGTTATATCTTGTTATTTTACTTATGAAATCTGTCGTCGGTTGGAATATAGGATATAACAAGATGTCAATAACAACCGAAACTGTGAAATAATTATAACAGCGGGCCCCAAATGTCGGTTTTAGGTAGGATCGAAGTTTACCAAAACTAAAGTCCAATATGGTTAGAAGAATTTAATACCAATAATAAAAATTAGGACCTAGAGCATAAATATTGATAGATTTATACAAAATGAAACAATAAATCTATTAAATTCGATAGAAGAAATTGAAAACATTGGGGAATTTCATAGCTGGAAGCAGTGTTATCTTATATTGAAATTAAACAAGTAAGAAATGGTCAAATCCGAAGGCGTAGTTCTGAAATTTGAAAGAATTTAAGTAAGAAATAATGACGAATTTTACTCATTTTTGGTACAACAACAATTCAACTTTATTTTATTAATTAATTTTTCACACTTCAAACCATCATATATGGAACAGGGAGGCTAGATAAAGAAAAGCACCTTCAAAGCCTTCTTCTTATTCAATTTTAGGTACCAACATTTTTTAGCTTAGGTGCCAAACGGAAAACTGCCGTATCGCTTATATTTTCACCTCAATTTTGTTAAAATATCTATTATACTAGTAGTTGTGAGTGTAGTTGAAGTACTACTTGACACTAATTCGGTGAGCATTAAATAATATAACTTCAGTTCTTACAAAGCTAGCAAAAATAATGTTTTTTGCCTCGAAGTTCTGTGGGAGAGAAGTGAGTAAAATTTTCAGGCATTTTAATTTTTTTCTAAATGCCATTTATTTTATCAAAACTGGTGAATGAATTAATAGGGAAATGTGCGAGCCACACTATAAAGCTCTTTTTTTGTTTGAAGAAGATATTAATACAAAGGTTTTTAATCTTGTCGAAAAGTTTCGGTTTTAACATAGAAGTGCTTGATACAGTGCTTATATTATATTTTTTGAATATTTTTTCAGGGAAGAAAACAGCAAACAGCACTGTGTTTATTTTACATATGACAACATAGTATTCGTACCTACTGTATATACTATTAACAGCAAAGAGTAAACATCTCGACCAAAGCATGCATACACACATATAAGCAATTAGAGCTAGCAACATTCAACAATGGATTGTCAACAAACACACTTAACAACAACAACAATTGCAGGAATGAGAAAATAAAGTTGTAACTCACCAACAACATAGAGCATAACAGCAGGTGGCATCACACACGTGCCCACAAGCCAATCAGTGATGGCCAGGTTCATCACGAAGCAATTGGTGACGGTTCGCAGCCGGCGTGTGGTCAGCACGGACAGTATGACTAGTGTGTTGCCGACCACCGTCACCAGGATCAGCAGCACGAAAATTGCAACGGCGAGCGCCTGCGGCCAGCGCAACGCCACCAGGTAAGCATCCATGGAGGCAGCAGCGTGAGCACTGGCAGTGGTGGCGGCAGTGCTTAAGGTAACACTGCTACGATTCAAAATAGACATAATGCTAGAGTCGTAGAGTGTAACTTGGGCGCTGTCACTTGCATCGGGAAGATCCCCGCCGACTGTGGTGGCATTCGTTGGAATAAAGGCATTAAGGCTTGTAACGCTGGGGAATACTACACTCAGAGCTGTGGCGAAGGTTGTCGGCACTACCGCAAACGAAGTTGCACTTGTGGCAATTGACGGTGTTGCGGTTGAAGCTGTTGCATCATTGAAGTGCTTGAGCTGTGTACCTATTGTCGCTGTCGTTGTAGCTGCAACAGTCGCAGCGGTCGACGTTATTGCCAGGAACTTGTAGAGTAGTGTTTTTAAATGCTGTGCACCGCTTCCGCTGGCAAAGCGACCCTCTGCCATTCTACGCGGCACCCTGTAGAGCTTATGTATCGGTGAATTGGATTGTTGGCTGTGCGCTTGTCGTTCCATGGAACTGGACCCAAGCGCAATGAAGGACCTCGATAATAGTGGGGTGAAAAGGCCGTTTCTCCTTCGCAATGCAGTCGTGGCTGCCTCGGTGGTGAGAGCTGGCTGGTTCTCGGAAGTCATGCTGAAGGGTTTGCTGGCGTCAGTGTGATTCCATTTGATTACTGTAAATAAATAGACTGTTGACTCTTGACGCTTTTATTTTTGCTTATTATAGTCTGTCTTTCGCTGTCCTATTCCTTTCGTACTTCAATTATTTGCATGGGATGCGAAATCTACAGGACGGAGAAAAGAGTAAATAATGGGCTTTAGATACTGCACCATTGTTAAAGTGTCAGAAGTAGAGACAATAGCGATAAAATTAGTTCATTGAATAACAGCGAGAACACTTGTGTATGTATTATATATGTACATATGTATATAACTTATTTTTGTACCAATAAACCAGGCTAGACAATTTCTGAAAGCAACAAAAGACATAATGGGATAATAATATCTATTACAAAAGAATAATAATATAACAAAAAGTTAAGGAAGGGTTGAGGAAAGAGAATATGCTGTTGTTAGAAAAGGATTCTTTCTGGATTTCATTAAGATCCAGATTTATCTTTCTTGATAAAGTGGTCTAACCCACATCCTAAACTAAGACGCAAATTACAAAATACGAAATAGTAAATGTCAGAGATAAGAGAGAAAGCGTTCATTCTGAATTACCCTTTTTTAAAAAAATCTGATATTTTAACTGAAAACCCAAAAATCTGGTTATTTCAACTTTTCACATAAATTATGTGGTTTTCTGAAAAATATGTACCTACAACTTAGCCATATAACTTTTTTCTATTGAACTCGTAGTTTTTTCGGAAACCGTCTTAAACCCTTAAAATTTACACCCTTCCTTCCCCTTTCTCTCCCTGACTTCAGATAGATTGTTCTAATGATATTTAATTAACATCTCAAATCATATACACTGCGTAGAAAAAGTTTGTGTACCAGGTACTAAAACAAAAAAAAAAAAATATTGGAATAAATAACTTTATACTTTATGTAAAAAACAATTTATTTGATATTCATTAAAGGACATTAAATATGTATTTTATGAAAATAAAAGTCATTTAAGAGCAAATAGGACCATATAAAAAAAAACATACGGACGAATATAAAATCCATTAGAAAAAGTCTGCATACAATAGAGCAAAACTATAACTTTTCGACACTTTTACATTTGGTTATTACGTAGTGAATTCCCATTTTACTACTTGTACGCATACTTTTTCTCAACTGCCAGATTCTCATTACTTTAAATGCTATGGGATTATGCAATAGACTAGCAATAAAGCACTTAATATGATATTAGCGTGTACGCAGACTTTTCTGGCGAGTGTATGTTATGATCAAATTGAATGCTAGTTGTCGAATATTGAATAGTTATACTTTCATATTAACTAAGGTTACAGCTTTTAATACACGAGCTCTTTATGATCCTAGACTTGGAACCGATATTCTCTCCAATCGCATTACATATACCAATATTAGCCAAACTAGTTAAAAGGGCGGGCCAATAAATAATTAGCGCCGATTATGGCAATAATATTGCCAGAGAAATTTACTGTCACGTAGTGCTTGCTCGTAGACGACTAATGTCAAAATTTCAGTCGAAGGACAATGCGAAGGACTTTCTGATTCCATGAAACATGGTCAGAAACGTTCCTATTTGGCGACAAAAAGTGTTTTACCACTGTGAGAACGCACCGGATCATAGTTGGAGCAGCGCTGGATCTAGGTTTGAAGCCTACTACCGCTAAACAAACCAAAGAATTCGAAAAACTTAATACAAAAGCCAAGGAAAGTATGTAAGTATATTGCAAATTGCAGGCGGTTATGCACTTTCATTGAAAGAGTTATTTGAGACGAAGGCAATTCAGCCGAAGTAAATGACTTCCTTTAAAAATAGAGATAGGTAAGAACTACAGAGGTATTGTTGAGCCATCGAGAGGGTTTTCCCAGAAATATGTTATATATCGTCTTATCATTATATGACTTTTACTGGTCGTATTCCTGAAATGTGTATTGATTTTATTGAAAAATTTCACTAGAATGAGTGCATAATAATAGCCTTTATTTAAATATCTTACTTGTATCTACAGGTATTTAATGTAGGTAGTAATTGCATACTAACTACTTCAATTTTATATTCCATTACAGTATTCTGAATGACACTCAGCACAACTTGTTGTTCATTTCGTATTCAAAGCATTTATGATTGAAATTCTCGAATCGTTATTAATAGTTCAGACACATAGTATCTAGATACTCGTTCATACAATAGAATGCTTCTAATTCTAAATTCTAAATTCAATTAAAATAAAGAATTATTTTTCATAAATTATGAGCATTAATCAACATAAATTGTTTTCAACGACGACCGAAAAGTAAATTTCTTCATTTTTTAAAGACGATAATGATGAATACTATGATGAGTAATTTTATATACAAATAATTCCACTACAGTTGGGTTCTGCTTTCTTTCAGACAGTATAAAGTTGCCAATGTTAATTTTACGATTTCTTTTTTGTGATTAATGCTTATTATTTTGGGATTAGATAAATTTTGAATGTGAATATAAATAATTTCATCACTGAGAATTTAGTGTGCGGAATTTTATGTGGCGACAGGTGAAGCGGTGCTAATGTAATGGTGTAAGTGGATATTTTACACGTTTTGATTTTGTTTTTACAAATCCACGAACAATATTTATTCGAAATCAACAATTATTCGAAACAATTTTTATGATTTGTTTACCATAGTATAATACATACACATTTACACATATGAAACGTATTTATATAGAAAACTGGGTAGGTAAATGAGTCTATATAAATAGTAAACAAAGTAAAATCGCATTAAAAGCCATTAAAGCAATTGAAAGGTGTATAATAATTGTGAACCGCTCTTTTTATTGTGGATAAAAATTTATTGTCGTATTCCAAGGGTTAACAACCCGAGTTATGTGGTAAAAAACCTTGTTTTATTATACTAATAGAGAATATTAAAAAATGGTTTAAAAAAAGAAAAAAAACTTCGGCTGTACCTATAATACCCTTTACAGGTGCATTTTTTAGAGCGTAAAAGGGTCTAAAAGTATATTTATCTTGATTTTGTTCGGTCAGTTCACATGGCAGCTATATGCTATAGTAGTCCAATCGGAACAATATTTTCGGAGATTGTAGCGATACCTAAGATACTAATCTAAAATGTCGTCGCTGGTTTTCCCTAAAAGAACTTGAATTTATTCGGAGATTGTAGCATTGCCTTGGATTATAATCTATGCCAAATTTCATGGATTATCTATTCAAATTTCAAATAAAAATTTTTTTTCTCAGCAATTGAGTTCGACCCATCGGTTTGTATGGCAGCTATATGTTGTGGTCCGATATCGGTGGTACCGAAAAATGAGCAGCTTCTCGAAAACTGAGAGACTAGTTCGCGTATATACAGACGGACATGTATAAATCGACCCAGCTTCTCACGCTGTACAATATATAAATTAAACTTCTGGAGACAAAAAGGATGAAAATGAAATAATGTTTAGGCAAGCAAAGCGTCTGCCAATAGGCAGGACGTGATTTCGACCGCTCGTGACGGCCTTGTTTGTTTACGGATTTGTGTCAAATTTTGTCAATATGTTCAGTAAGGTTTCCCATTTTATAATGTCACGTTTCACTTTGGTACGACGCTTGAAAATTGTTCAAGATTATTGCCCAAATGCACGTTCATCGAAAAATCATCTTCTCAAATGAGGTCCATTTCTGGCTTAGGGTCTTCGTCAATGTGTAGGTATGGCTGCGTCATCGGGGCTTATTTCTTTCAAAATAGCAGGCGTTACACACGATGTATACCGACTTTTTTCCCGAAATTTCATCAAATCGACGCGAACGATCTCTATTTCCAACAAAACGGTACGCCGCCTCATGTTTCACGTCTAAAGATGGATAGAATTATCTGCATAACAGAACCCAAATCAGAACCCATTTGGCAAATTTGGATGTTTTATTTCATTTTAACATCACGTCGTTCTAGTTGGTAGACTTTGTTTTTTAAAACTCAACTTTCAGCAGAAAAAAACTCTTTATTGTTAAAGTACCGTTCAACAAAGCAATTATTGCGGAAAATATTTGAACCATGCATAAGTGTTAATTACAATTAATAATGTTCATGCTTTGGCATCTTTCAATAAAGTTTTATTGACTATTCACAATAGTAGGGCGCGAAAATTCTTGTTTAACTGTGAATGTAATTGGACAGAAATTTTTGAAAATAAATAGACAGAAGAAAATTTATACCAATTTAGTTTAGCAAATATTGTTTTCACCTTTATTTTCTTTAGAAGCCAAACCGCAAGGGACCAGTCAATGTCAACGCCTAGCTCATTTTTTATAAAAATATCACGTATTTCGGAACTATCTAAGTATCCTCTAAGGAGACATTATACGATTTTTTAAGAGCTTGCGCTTCACCTTAAAAATTAAAACTAGTATGATTTTGAAGGTGGCTAAGATTTGGAATTGCACCCAGAACTTATTTTGCTGCTTAAAATTTGTGATTTTTAAGGAAATTATCAAAGAAACTATCAAAAAATTTAGAATTTAACAAACTAGCAAACGGTAAACGGTCTTCGTCTAATAAATCATGAATGATTTGCACTTCCCGTAGCATTCTCAAACACATTCGGAAGCAATGAGATCACAATTTATACAACAACAGTCCAACGACTAACAACACAAAGTCACATTTCTATGGAATACAACGACATATTGCCAACAAATCAGCAAAATGCCGCAAACGAAAATATTTATTGTATTACAACAACAAATGTCAACACTTCATTGAGCGTCCAGAACGATGTGTACACCTCGGTATGCAGTCGGCTCTACAATTCAATCAACTTAACGATGCGTTGAGATGTGATTTCCACACTGTATATATATATGTACATACTATTGCATATATACATACATACATAGGTATGTCCGTAAGCAAATTAAACACTCGAGTAAGTTGTGGTAATTAGTACAGCGTTTGAATATTATACAGAGGCGGAAAAAGTCAGTGATCCATTTGCTTGCAATAACTGATCGGGGCATATACTTGTATGTAACTAATGGTAGTAACACCGTTGTTATGCAAACCACATAAACAGTATTATTAAACAGCAACAAAAATTACAAGCAAGTGCTAGAGGTAAATAGCGAGACAAGCAAATGGTCAAAAATTTTATTGAAAACATAAATTATAATTTTGGCCATTACCAGGAGATTGAGGCGATTGAGTGGAATATCGGCACAATTATAATTGCAAAATGGCGTCAACAATAACAACAACCGGTTTTTATCTTGAGTGTATACAATGTGCATTTGTTGAATTTACACAATATTATATAGCAGACTTTTGCACATTTCATTTGTTTTGGCACTTTTTCACCGCACTTCTTGCAAATCGACCGCTATACGCACTTATCGCACATACAACGAACAGGTGTCTCGTCTCGACGACGAAAAACAAATATGAAAGCACCGTGTAATCGGACGAAGGCAGGCTTCAGCGTTCTCCGGCACCGTGTGCGAAACGAACTGAAGTGCCGTCGGCTGCTCGCAAACGCCTAAAGTCCAAAGGTGCTGTTGCCGTTGTCGAGCTCTCCAGAATCGTAAGATTCGTAAGCTGCTTGCGTTCAACATGGCCTGTGAGCATTTGATGCTCATTTGCTTCAATTTGCACCTTGTCTATCAGCCTGGCTGGCACTTATTTTATTCCATCGGTCGAAGCAATTATTGAGACGGCCGTGTAGGCCATCGCTGAGAAATTTTACAAAATCAAAATATATAACAAATTAGAGGAATTTTTCAAATAATTTGAAGTTAGTGCAAATGTCACAATGGCTTTTGTGCGAAATGGAGATAAGGCGAAGCAAAGGCAGAAAACCATATTGTACGTTCTGTTGTTTTCTTAAGCCAAATATGTGCTTTCTACTTTTATGCATACCATATATATCCACAATCTAAGACTTACAGCTTGCAATGATTACCGAGTAAAGGCAAATTTTGGTAAAAATACGATTTCATTATGCGGCAAAGGAAGGTATAAAGTAAATATATTTTTGCGTCTTCAGGTCTCACTTAACTCGACAAAGAGGTGTTTGGAGTCTCTTATATATGATGAAGCCAACTTAAATCTCTTAAATGATTAAACGCATTTCATTTTCAAAGACCTGCTATTACAGTTAGTCCTTTATATCGGCAGTTAATCTTAGAGATCATAAAACGTCTATCTAGAGAATATGAAAGATAATTGTTTATCGCAGTTAAGCAATGCCTTACCATCTAATACTCCCAATGCTATATGCTTACTCCGGAAAAATGTTTGCAAATTGTGCAAATTTATTATCAAAATAATGGTTCGGTTGGCGCGAAGCAATTTTGTAGAGCGATAAGTCTCACCTTTGATTGAATGAGGATGTTAATAAACAAAATTTACGTATTTGGAGTGATGATAATCCATATCCGTTGCATCTTCAGAAAGTCACCGTTTGATGCTCTCTAACGACAGAAAGACTTATTGGTTCATATTTTTTCAAAAAGGAAGCCGGCCATAATGCCACAGTCAATGGGAAATGCTATAGAGCCATGATTAATGACTTTCTCGTGCCTGAACCGGAGGTTGTTGATGTGGACGTTCTTTGGTTTCAACAAGACGGCGCTAGATGTCATACAGCCAACGTAACTATTAATTTATGGAAGGAAACTTTTGGTGAGTGCATTAACTCGCGTCATTGTTCTGTGGCCTGGCCTAAAATATCATGCGATTTAACACCACTAGTGTGTTTCGAGTAGAATGGGCTCAGTTCAACATTGCTGTCAGCGATAAAAGTGCTGTTGATGAACCTAAAAATGTCGTATGAATAAAACATGTTTAACTATTTTTCTTATTTTTTTTATACTCTCGGAACTTGTTGCGATTACACCCGAACTTAGGCCTTCCTTACTTTTTTATATCAAGTTAGTAAGGCAAGTCAGTTTCATTATGATATCTGAAATAATCAATGCAAGTTCAATCTAACTAACAAAACGCATTCAATTCAACATTATCATCAATGTGAAAGTTTCAACCAGAGGCAGGAAAACTTATTATATTGGGAATAAAGAGGTTATTGAAAGTTTCGAACTGATTTTATTCGTTTTGATGCCATGCAACACATTTATAACGTGGCTTAGCTGATTTTGGCATGCAATAAATATGTGCATTTGTCGGCTTAACTAAATATAACCAAAAAGTTCGCTCTGCGATTCATTCACCGACAGCGAACGAACAAATATTGCCAATGGCTTTCATAATAAACTCGAGACATTAAAATGCTCACACATAAAATGCGATGTTCCAATTACAAACCAACCGCTGGTTAATCGCCACCGCACACCGCCAGGCACGCATTTCTGATGGACAATTTAATCATATCGGCCCAGAGACACATGCGGATTACACACGTATTTACGACTGGCGATCCCCGCCACCTGCGCTATTGGCCCCTCAATGCTCCGGTACATGGCCTGGCTGTCGCCCGCATCATGTTTTTATAATCAATTTAATTGGAGCAGATAGTGTTTTATTAGTTTTCCCGCTTACACAGAAATACACTCAAGACAAAATACCAAAGGAAATCTACTTTGCAGCAGTTGAAAATCGCAAAATTCTTTTAGCTAAAGATGCTCTAATTTTTGCTTCGTATTCACTTTCCCCAGCAGTAAACAGTAAAAGGTCGAAGCAATACATCACCGCAATCACTAGCGCTTTCCAATTCCCCACCTCTCGCTCGTTGTTACGAGCCTTTTCAACCCTGAAGAGCGTATATTATAATCGGCATGACGAGCCGAGTCGATTAAGCCATATCCGTCGGTATACATGCGAACTACTCACTCAGTTTTTGAGATGACGATCTGAACACTTACACACATCCTTATTTTTTCAAAAGCTGCTCATTTGTCGGAACCGTCGATATCGGGCCGTTATATTTAGCATATAACTGTCATACGAACTGAACGATCGGAATGAACTCATTGTATGGGAAACTTTTTTGTTTGACGAGATATCTTCATGAAATTTGGCATGAATTATTGTCCAAAGCAAAGCTATTATCTCCGAGTAAATTGTTCAGATCGGACCAGCATGTAGCTGCCATACAAACTAACCGACCAAACCATGTTGTTGTAGAAAATCTTTTATATTTGTGAAGGGTATTATAGTATTGATGCAATCAAAGTAAACGTTTTTTTTTTTTTGTTTTAGACAGTCATATGGTCACTACTTGGTGGCGCAAGGGGTAAATATAATCACTTCAATTACATATATATATATTAGTGCCAATTAATAATTATTATAATTAATAACGGTGTTCGTTTTTATCATTATTCGTTGATTTCTTTGTATCACCATTTGTTACATTATTGATATGTTAAATGTACACACACCGAAACCACAAAACTTGGAGAGGCGAGCAAATTTCGCAGTGTGGTTGTTTTTGTTGTTTGTGTTAGTTTATAAAATATTGTATTTTCACGCCTTTCCCTTTTCCTCTGGAGGCTGATTAAATTCATAAAATTTTATCGACGACGTAATGATACATTTGTATTGTTGCGCTCTTTTATAATATTTGCATTTTATAACAACAATATAGATTTGTTGTAGAGCGTTGTGTAGTAAATGTTTGTAGCAATGTTTGCATTAATATACATATACTATATGTAATACATACATAAATATGGTATATACATACAAGTATATATAATATGAGAAAAGTCTTCTAGAGGGCATCAATATGTGCGCATATGTTTATCGGCGCTTTGTACCGAAGATTTCTGTGTTCATACTGAAGCAAGCGCCTTAGTTCGGTTATAATATTTTTTAAATTTTCAAATATTTCTAATGTCCAATTGGATTTTTTTTTGAGTGTTGCGAAATTTCGCATTTTACGATCTATAAAAATGAAGAAGTATTTTCAGCAAAGCTTCGGTGCTTCCAGTGTTTATTGTTTTTAAGCTTTTCGAAAAATGTTTGTATTTCCCTCTAAAAAATATTTCTTTCATATGATAAGAGTGTTTCTGCAACATTTTCAAATCAGTGCATGCTATATTCAAATTTTTGTATGGAATATTTTGTATTTGTGAAGGGTATAATGGCTTCGGTGCAACCGAATTTAACGTTTTTGTTTTTTGTTTTTTGTGTAACTATGAATTAACAAAATATATAAAAATAAAATTAGTAGAAATGTACATACATACATACATACATATGTGTGTATGAATTCACAACGAGGTTAAAGTCCTTCAGAGTTGCTCAACTTACAAGTTGTAATTACTAAATGGATGTGCACTCTCGTTTAATTTCGCTGAAGTAAAAATCGCCATTCGTTTTATTTTTTTCTTATTTCATTAAAATATCCACTCATCATTTCTGACGAACCTTTTGGAACAATAACAACATGCATGCACTTGTTACAATTTCGCTTTATCCGTTTCAGCACAACTTGTTGCATCGATTTCACATTCAGTGAATGTTTGTTTTTGTTGTGAGGAATTGTGTCATCACTTTGGGATAGTATCTGTATCGCATGGGAAGCTCAAATACCTAGGAGCGCCGCGTAGGCTGATTGGACTCACGCAAAACCACTTGAAATTATTTGTTGCTGTTGGTCTTTTGTCCCTCACACTCCAGCGATTACATGTGTACACTCGGGCACATATAATTGTACAAGCACAGTAGGGGAATGTTTGTGTGTTGGAAAATGTGACCCAGCTGTTGGTTAATGAATTTAACTTATGAAATTATCCGATTTTTTATCGCGTCCTTACTGATAACGCCACTAATTGAACAAATTTATCAATTATTTTGCATTCAGCGCTATGAAAGTCGCTGCGTTCACAGCCGATTCAATAAACTACACACCTATATTTGTACAGCTATGTGTTCGATGTCGATGATTGGCGCATTTGCTGATAATTTGTCAATGGCAATGTAGTGGTAAAGGTCGCCTATGAATAACGGCACAAAAATGTCGGCTAAATGCGCGAGTTGCATATAGCACCCGAAAAGCAAATAAAAAACTTTAATTTTTTTCTCAAATAATTCCACTCAGTCCAGGCTTAGTTTCCAACATGCGATAATTCATCGATCATTAACACAAACACAACCGAAATTATTCAAGCCGACACATCTGCGCGTACAGCTGACACCGGTCATCTTACCCTCTTCGTGTTTTGGTTAGAAAAAAGTACAACAAACTTCCTTTTCACTGTCAGCGCAGTCATCACAAAGCACGGAGACACGGCGGAAGCGTGTTGAAAAAACTGTAAATGTCTCTGTACGCCAGGACGTATCGCGCGCGACTGATTCCGGTCAACTGCCAACGTTAGGTTGCGCACCGGCCACAGCAAGCCCGAAGGGCAACGCCAAAGCGAATGTCAACGCTAATGTCACTGCCAGCGGCGTCATCTTAACACAGGCGGATAGCGCTCAACGTATGTGCGCGCGCCTGCTTAATTTATTGGCGTTTGCGAGGAGTCTACTATATCGTTCGCTATATTTTTATTCACTTTTTATGTGCTGCACCTTTTGCGCGCTCTCATTTAGTAGCCATTAGTTACAAGCCAAGGCTCGTTCTTTCTGCTTCGGTTTCCTATTTAATGTTTCTATTGTTTTCCTTTTTTATTTGCCGCACTGATGAGTGGGCGCAGCGGCTTTTTGCCTTTTGTTTCGCACAACTGATAGAGCAAGTATTCACTATCGAATAGAGAAACATTAACATAAGGATAGTGAAAACGATACAAATTTTTCGCGGTATAAAAAGAGAATCGATGCGCTCAATTTATGTGAGATCATATACGGAAGAATGCATGATACCACATATAAAAATTTAGCAAGAAAAAACGTTCCCTTCGGTTGCACTGTAGCTATAATACCCTTCAAATATAAAAGATTAGTTAAAAAACCAAGTTTCTACCGGTCAATTTGTAAGGCTGTTCTGAGCAATTTCTGCGGAGATTACACCACAGCCATAGACAATAACTCATGCCAAATTTCTTAAAAATATCTCGATGTTTTCCATACAAGCACCTGATTTCGTTTGTTCAGTTTGCATGCCAGCTACATATGTGCTATTATCAACCGATATCGGCGGTTCCGATAAATGAACAGCTTCACAAAAACAACGTACACATATTGCTTGCAACAATGCCACATATTAAAGCCACTTCCGGTAGTACGTTTTGACAAAAGACAGCAGTCATATCTTTCGGCGTCAGCGTCGCCTTCGAACTTGTGAACTTTCGAACAATGTTCACACACCAAATTACTGGCTTCAGTCACGCGCTAGGCTAACGAATGCTTAGTCCAATTATTCCTTCGGGAATCTTTTAGCTCCTTGGATGACACCACTTCTACACATACATGCCCGAAAACAAACACAGACACCTTTAATGCTTTTAGTATGCGGCCACCTCACTGCCATTGTTATTTCAAATTTATTCCGAGTAAAAGAGTGCTTTCGCATCACAATGGATTTTCCAAACTCCTCGCGGCAATGGCACATCAGTATTGAACATATTGAGCAGGAAGTGCAAATATCCATCGCTTTTTTCTTCTGTTTTCTTCCGCTTTCATTTGCTGATTTGCCAATTCCAATACAATTCGATTGCTTGCGGACATGGCTTTTGTTCTGTCATTTCGTTTACGGTTCACACGTCGTATGAGTAACATTTTGATTTCGAAGAAACGATATCACCTTTTTATTAATCCTGCAGCTGTTCATTGATGGCAATGCTTCGTCGCCTCGTATCTACCTGGCTTTCACACATTTCTATAGTAGTTTCCGCGTGAATGCCATTTAATATACGCTTTCGTACACATATCTCCAAGCCCACGCACCTCTCTTTATCTGCGAGAGATGAGTAGGCACGTACACGTATTTAAGAAAGTACACCTACGTATAGATACATATGGTACATATAAATTTCTATATATAATGCTAGATTATTAGTATATAAGTAAATTGATGATAGCTGTGTTCTTGCGAGGAGTTCTTCTTCATTGTTGGAATATGAAGAAACCGCAACTGAAAGCCATCGTATTTTGGTGGAAGTTTATGGTGAATATACGCTAGCTGAGCGAGCGTAGCAAAAGCGGTTTGCACGATTTTAGATTGCAATTAAGGGTTGTCAACCAGCCAAACCAACGGCAAAGCCGAATATGCATGACGTCAAGGTAATGCTCTATATTTGCTGGCGTGTGTATTATGAGCTTCAAAAACCGAGTGAAACCATTAATGGTGGACGTTACCGACACCGACTCATCAAATTAAAGTGGCCGGATGCCGAAAAACGGCCGAAATTTGCGATTAGACAAGAGGGAAAATGTTATAGCTTCAGAAGGGCAATACTTTGAATTCATGTTCTTGTAAATAAACGTTAAAAATTTAAAAAAAAAAATCGCACGAATGTAGTTACAGAACAAATAAGAGGCTTAATTTTTAAAATTGATAATATGGACAAAATTGGGCCGATAAATTTTATGTATAACCGTCAAGACTTGTAATTAGCTTTTGCTGCCTCTCTACCCCTCTAAAGCTTTTACTTTACTTTTTGGGGTTTTTGCAATTAAATGAGGTAAACGGTCGAACCACATGATGTATGTTTCCTACTTCTATAATCTTATAAACTTCAACTGTGCCTCTTAATAACTTTACTCACTCCAAGGTTGACATTCTAACGCTTCGATATTATGATAAATGATTCCGTAGCAGTAATATGAAGAAGAAGCAGACTGAAAAGCTTTCATTCTATTAAAGAAAACTATTTTTACCACCGATTATATCGAAAACTTCGAAATTTTTTTACCATTTTTATACTCTGGCAATTGAATTTACAGACTATACTACTTTTGTTCATCTAACGGTTGCTTGTAACACTTAAAGCTAGCCAAGACAAGAACAAAGTTAGCGCAGGGTTGCACCTCAAGTACTGCCCGTTTGTTTGAGCATCTGGTATAGTCTGTTCGATTCGCTAGAGAGTAACGCTTACGCAAGTGACATCATGATGATGATTCACGAACTATCTCAACCCCCTTATACTACATAGTATGGTGATTATTTTTCTTTCAATGGATTCTATGCCGAATAAATCGGTTATATTTTTACTTATCTTAACAAAATTAAGTAAAAATATGCTCTCGCGCATACGTTAGTTAAGTACCAAAAGTAAATGTGATCTGGCCATATAGCTATGTGTAGCTCGTCGTCAGAGAGGCCCGACTTTTGTAAATGCCTCTCCTTTTTTTGGGGTTTTTTGTTTAAAGTAGCTAACCCTAACCGAATCTCATCGCATATTTCTCCCACCGAATCACCTGATTAAGTATAACTTCGTGGGAGAAAGGTAAAAAAAGTTAAAAAAAAAATGGACTTTACCCCACCCTCTAATAGTTTTAATGTACATATCTCCTAAACCACTAAAACTAAGATAATTAAATAAATTAAATCCCTTTAGAATCCCTACCGACAATGCGAAAATGGATGAAATCGGATTATAACCTCCGTACAAGAGGCCTTTATAGGAGCCGGTGTCAAATTTCGACAAAGGATGAAGCACCGCCCACATTTAGGTGAAAACTCACATCTCGGGACCTACTCGACCAATTTCAACCAAATTCGGTGTGTATTATTAACTTGGCAATCTTTCATTACAGTGTGAAAATAACAGAAATCAGACAAAACTCACGCCTTCTTCCCATATAACAAAATTTTAAAATCCATCTAATACTTTCACTTTCCAGTATATAAATCAAGAACCAAACAATATATCCGGATAAAGCAAATAGTGTCTTCAAGGTATTTCATTTTATACTCAAAAATTAAAATCAAAATCGGACCTTCACTTTTTAAGAATTCAGAAAACAAATATGTGGATCCCAGTACATATGGCTGACTTGCTGCCGACAACATCGGACAATCTATGAGATGCATGGTATTATTGAAATTTGGGGGAAAATGTTTCTTTGATAATAATATATACAAATATTTTTATAAAGGGTGTTTTTGAGACGTGTGGTTTTAAATGAGGCATTACTTTTTACTGGCTTTGTCTTTTAGACAGCTGTTAGTTGATTTTTACTCAGTTTTTGCCATATCATAATCAAGACTTACTCCGGAAGAATGTTTACAATTCGTGCAAATTTACTAAACAAGATGGCCACCGATTCCAATTTTTACAAGAAAATGTTTAAGCTCAGTATCAAGTACGTCATGAAAGCGGTTAGTACTATACTTTTAGAACATTGAAAATTTTCATTCAACATTTTTCCGTAATACATACTCATATTAATATATTGTAGTATAACTTTACGATTCATATTCACATTTAAATTTCCAGAAGGTGAAAAACAAAAGGTAGAAAGTCTATTATTAATATCTTAGCGAACATTTGTAGCAACGTGTGTAGAAACTACCATCCATTTAATATGACTATTTCCAACAATTCGACAACAGGAGTCTTTAATTCAGTCCGGTGGGATAAAATCAACTAGAAGCGTCAAAACAACGCTGAAAACTTTCACTATAAGCCACATATTTGAGTGTATATATTATGAGTGTAATGTATGTAAATGAGAGCCGAAGCATGTTAAGAGTCAGAGTGCATTGTTCCATGTTCAATAATACCTGCATTCCTGTCCATTCTGTTTGTTTCTTATTCGTATTTCAAAGATGTCCAATACTCAGAGTAGTTTGAAAGAATTGAATGACCACTTCATTCTCGTCATCTTTTCAGAAGATTACGCAGCACGAAGATTCTAAGCGTGTTCAATTTTGGATCCACTTTGATTACGATATTGTATAGACGAGAACTTGGCCGATAAAATGAGAAGGAAAACCTTTATACAAGTACTTAACAATGCAGAGAAATTAGTGCTTTCCAGTTCAAAGTAAAGTACACTAAATAACGAAATAATACACTTACGTAATACACTCACTGAGGCACAGCAAAACACTTTTACACACATACATATATAATTCGGATATAAAATTAATGTTTCATTAAAGCTAATAGCTGCAAATTAATTTCTTTTGCGAAATGTGTCGGTGAAACTATCAAATTCTAAATACATATAAGCACACATGTAATTTAATTACATTGACCTATATTTTCCACGAGGAAAATATTTGTGGCATGGCAGAGAGGGATGAACGTGAAAGGAATGTTTGTAAAATTTAATTTGAGTTTATAGGTATACTGTTGAACTAATATACGAGTATGCACCTTTTTCTGCCATTAATTCTGTTACACATTTTACAATGCATACAACGACAACGCGTTCGCAGAAAAAATTGCCGTTATTTAAGAAGGCGTGTTAAAGCCGTTAAGTAATACTTTTTCGATCGATTGAATCTTCCAGCAAAAGCTCGAAC